ACCTTTATTATGGCTCCGTTACACAAATAATTTAGGCTATATGAACTGCGGGGAGAAAAAAAAAAATGAAAATCAGAAAGCTATAAAAGTGCACCTGTCACACACTACAAGGACATCCTTTACTATTGGTGAGATTGTAGTCTCCAGTGGCGTCCTCTAGGTTGTTCCCTTTCTGTTTCCCAGAAACTAGACACTGAGAAAAGTGCACGGCTGAATGACAAAAATCTCTGCTCTCATTTCTTGTTTGTTGTACAAACAAAATGCTGCATCTGTACAAGGGGCAAATCCTACAGCGGCCTTGGGTTGCAGAATACAGAAACATTCCACAGTTGTGAGCAGTCATGATGAGAAGGCAAAATATCGTATTACTAAGAAAATTGTTGTGGCCTCAATGACATTGCTCAAAATGTGACTTTAACCCTTTCTGCTGGTGGGAGACAGCCTTTTAAGGGGATCTTAATGCCATTTCCTGGGCTTGCTGATCATGTGATTGGCTGTCACAGTGATTATGTAATCAGGTGCTCCTCCTAGCAGCTGTCAACTGGGAGATGGTGGTGACGGAATGATCACAGTGCTGGGAACATGTGAATGAGCGCGCTCCCAGCACAGAACTGTGATTCCAGCTGCATGCCTATATGTGGCAGCATGGCAATACAGAATGCTTCTTACATTGGTGATCAGTGGGAAGAATGTCCCATATATTGATGATCAATTAGGAAGAATATCCACTACATTGGTTATCGATGGGAAGAAATCTCCTTACATTGGTGGCCAGTGGGAAAAATGCCCCATATATTAATGATCAATGGAAAGAAATCTCATCATATTGATGATCAGTGGGAAAAATGCTTCTTACATTGGTGGTCAATGGGAAAAATGCTCCTTACATTGGTGGTCAGTCGGAAAAATGCTCCTTACATTGGTGGTCAGTGGGAAGAATGCTTCTACCATTAGTGGTCAGTGGGAAGAATGCTCCTTCCATTGGTGGTCGGTGGGAAGAATGCTCCTTCCATTGGTGGTTGGTGGGAAGAATGCTCCTTCCATTGGTGGTTGGTGGGAAGAATGCTCCTTCCATTGGTGGGCAGTGAGGAGAATGCTCCTTCCATTGGTGGGAAGAATGCTCCTTACATTGGGGGCCAGTGGGAAAAATGCTCCTTACATTGGGGGCCAGTGGTAAAAATGCTCCTTCCATTGGTGGTCAGTGAGAAGAATGCTCCTTACATTGGGGGCCAGTGAGAAGAATGCTCCTTACATTGGGGGCCAGTGGGAAAAATGTTCCTTACATTGGTGATCAGTGGGAATGGTGCTCCTTACATTGGTCGCCAGTGTGAACAATGCTTCTTATGTTGGTGGGCAGAATGCTCCTTACATTGGTGGTCAGTGGGAAGAATACTCGTCATATTGATGATCAGTGGGAAGACTGCTCCTTACACTGGTGGTCAGAGAAAAACATTTTTCTCAAAAGGACACATACAGCAGTAAAAACCTGATAGAGGTTATAGTCCCTACACCGATCTAACCAGAACATAATGCTCATCTGCTAGCTAAGGACATTCCACAGCATTTTCCTGTGAACCCAAAGAGGGGGAATGGAACCTTGACATATTGGGTTCATAGGAATCAAGTTGAATGACATCCAGCCCAGGAACAGTGGATCTGGAACTGGGCAAGTCTGTGGGGTTAAGCATTGGAGAGTGAGCGAGTAGAGCAGCCAGACACAATTTTTTTAAATTGAAGCAAGAGTGAAGTTTTTCATTCTTTACCTAGGATAGAGTTAGGCTTTCAAAGAAAACTTTTGGTTGGAGGTGAACTTTAAAAGCGAATGCCACCTCTCTAGAGGTACAGTATGAAACATAGTGAGAGTTGACAGCCCCCTGCCCTCAAAGTGGCTCCTCCTTCCTACTTACATCCCTGCTGGATGCTGTCAAATTTTAGATTTGGAGTGGCTGTGTGTGGTTCCACCAGTACAGCCGTATCATTCATTCTTGGAGAGTTGTGAAAAGACTACAAGTCCCATCTGCCATCATGGCTCTCAATGGAGCACAAGTACTGCACTTGTAGATCGTTGATACTTCATCCAACTCCATAGTGGAAAGTCCAAGGGATAGACCTGAACTGGAGGAATATTATGCAGGAGCCCGAGCACTTCATCTGCAATGTACTGATCACGATTGCAATACTTTGCAGACTCAAATGCAAAAATAAATAAATGCACGTTATAGTTTTTCTGCATAATTGGTGCATTTATTTTTATTTTTTTTGCAAAAGGTGGAATTTTCCTTTAAAGAAGTCTCCGAGCCAAGCCACCAGTGATATCTGTGCACAAAACACATTGTCCAATTCATTTTCAGTCTCTAATTATACACAAAGTGCAGAGGTTGCAAAAAATAAAATATATCACGTTAACCTAGATAACCCAATAAAACTTTGTAATAAATATTAGAGCTCTTATTTAAGAACAGCTGCATTTTTAAAGATTTGACTTAGTCTAAAAATGTCTGAAGCGGCCACTTCCCGATGATAGGAGGGGACTTTGTCATGTCTTTAACAGACATCATAACTTATTCACAGAGCATTTACCAGCAGAAGATCTGAGAATAAATGTAACTTCATAACAGGAGTGGAGCCAAATGAGAAAAGCACAGGCAGATCATGGAACCTTTACAGTGTGCTGGCATTGGTAATATATGGTCTCATTGCTGGACCGGTATCAGATACTATCCCACCTTGGATCAAGTGAAGGGTATTTCCAGGAAAACTGGACCTCCCACTTTTAGGACTATACCAGGTAGTATAAACCAAGAAGCACAGTGGCTCAGTGGTTAGCCCTTCTGCCTTTTGAGCACTGGCTGCCTCTTCGAATCCCAGCCAGGACATTATCTGCATGGAAGCTGCATGTTCTCCCTGTGCTTGTGTGGGTTTCCTCCCACGCATGCTGGTAGGTTCATTAGCTCCTTAGACTGTAAGCTCCATGAGGCTGGCACTAAAATGAAACGATAATATGTAAAGCTCTGTGTAAATTGATGGCACTACATAAATGAATGGAACAATAATAATAATAATAATAATAGCAGAGGTGTTTTCCTTTCCAACAGCTTCCATGTTTTCTTGGGACAACAATCTGCAATTTAAAATTTCAACTACAGCACCAACTACTGGTGAAATATGGTTCTGCAGAACAACCTACAAATACGGTTACTCCCCTATAGAGTCACTATTTTCAGTCTTTATTATACCATGCAGTTTAAAAAACAACTGGACAGGGGGCCCTGTTATGTCTGGCAGGATGCAATAGGAGGGCACCCTGTGCTGATACACAATAGAGCAAAGAAAATACATACTTTTGGGGGCTATCAGTTATGACGGACAAGTCATCAATGGATACAATAGAAATTGTGGGCCACACCAAAATTTCTAAGATTATAACCTTTTAATTCGCTAGGAACTAAAGTGTCCGAGTAACATCTCTGGGGTTGATTTACGAATGGCGAATAGACTGTGCACTCCGCAAGAGAAGTTGCTCAAGAGCAGGGGCGGACTGACAACTCATGGGGTCCCCGGGCAATAGGGGATCATGGGGCCCGTGTCCTTGCCCAAACTCAAAAAAGCCTATGAAAAAGATACCAGGGGCATCTCATGGGGCCCCCTACTCACCCCGGGCCCTCGGGCAGTGCCCGTGTTTCCAAATGGTCAGTCCGCCCCTGCTCCAGAGCTTAGCAAATGACCAAAATCGCTGCTGGATTTCATCAACCAATCACGTGCAAGCAAAAATGCTTTTTAATTTTCCTTGCATGCGATTGGGTTTTCTTTGCAAAGTGAAGATTTACCTCGTTTACGAAGCTCTGGAGCAACTGCACTTTGCAGAGTGCACAGTCTATTTGTCTTTAGTAAATCAACCCCACTGGTTCCTAGTGAGGTGACAGGCTGGATAAAAGCTCGTTATTGCCTAGGGCACCATTTCAAAGTACACTTACTTACCTTATCCCTCGCTCTTACAGCTCTTACGTCCTATGCAATCAGTCTCCCAAAGCTTCTTCTCTTCGGCACTCCCACAGTTGGACATCCTCACTAGCAATGCATGACCAGCGTTCAAACATTGTAAATGAGGATGACAATGATCTGCCCACAACCCGGGGCACTGGACGGAAGAGGAGAATGCTCGCTGCCAGGGGAGTAAGAGAGAAGGTAAGTAAAAGTGCTTTTTAATGATACCTAAAAATGAGCATTTAGCCATTGCAATACACTGGGAGCTCCACTGCAAAACATCTATTTACGCTTTAAATTCTAAATTAGTGACAGTTGCAGTAAAATTCACACATCGGGACTCCTTGCATTGCACGTTCATCTCTGCTCAGTTCACTTGGATGTGGCAGAAATGCATCTAAAATGAAGCTTGTAATAACGGAGTCATAACACATGAAGCTGCACTTCTGCTGTCTCTGATGGGTAAACAAAACGCATGAAAAGGGCAAAGAATTGTCAGCATACACTTCCATTATACCGGTGGTCATATTTTTGGCCTCTCTTCCCATTAAAGAGATAAATACGAGAGGGAAAATTTATGACAATTCATTTGAAGACATTTGCTACAGAAGTTGATAAACAATAGCCAGAAGAAAACCCCATGCAGCCAGCACAGCACTCTTCCATGAAACTGTCAGATCAACAAATATTTGAGTTGGTGACGTTCCCAGTCAGCTGGCTGGATTATCAGAGGTTTTGTCCAAAAAAATAAAAAAACAGAACAATTGTATGTAATACACATGTAATAACACTATATGCAAATTCATGGGATTAAATTAAAAAGGCAGAGGTGGGTGGTCTGGATAAAAACCATTTCTCCTTGGAGAAAACTGGTGATATTCTGTGCTTTTAGCCAATGCCCAGTGTGTGTACGCCACTTTCATCCCGCGGGGAGCAGCAGGTACAACAATCTATAAACCTTTGAATAACAGAAGATACGGCAAAAAGAGACAAGCTTTCTCTAGTGTGTCTCTGGCCTAGGAAGCCGAGTCTTCTGGCTGTAGATGAGAAGAGGATGGAGAAGAGGAACTAACGGCAGTTAGGTGCTTTTCAGCTTCCTCCACCTCCTCTTGCAGCAGATCCAACTCTCCCTGCTCCAGGAGCTCAAAATCTTCCCCGTCTCCTCCAGAATCTTGACTTTCAGGACGTGAAAGTCCCGGACGACCATGCGGTGCTACTGGGCTCTGCAGGGTGTCTTCCTGGCTCCGGGTCTGGATTTCAATCTCCAGTCCTGCGGCTTGCCCCTTTCCATTGAAATGTGTGTTGACAAAGTGAAGCGGGGAGGTCAGTGTGGGCAGCAACTCTTCTAGGCTTAGGGACAGAGTCTGAGTTGGTAAAAGGGAGGTTTCAGCAGCTGGCAAAGGTTTCCCATCTCCTGTATGGTGTCCCAACCAAAGTGGGGAATCGGCGGCAGAAACGGTGTCTTCGGGCACAGCGCTCGGCTGGTCTAAATCTAAAAGCAAGAAAAACAATAAATGTCCCAGATGCATGAAGCAGAATTCTAGCTTTTTTCTTCTTCTATCTTTTGCTGCCTAGCACCTGTGAAAATAAAAAAAAAAAGCAACCTTTACTGCAACACTTTAGCTCATCCCCCTGTAAACCCACTGCTCAGAGGTACAGTGCTGCTGGTCTTTCAGGTTGAATGATGGCCAGCATCATCCAACTCGCCTTCTATGAGCCTAGGCTGTAATGGACACATCTCCTAATGGGTACTAAAGTGCTGGAACCCTGGAGTTTTATCATATGTTACAGTGGCTCTACAGTTAAAACGTTTAATTTTTTGCATTCCCTGCATTAAGGTAAAAATTTGTTTTACCACTTGTTGTACCCCTAAATGCTTACCCAAGTCCTATCTTGATCCAGCACCGTGCCTGGCTGCAGCTCTTCTCTCCCCGTTTCCTGGTCTCACAGGAGACTCAGGCAGCAGCAGGAACCATTGGCCAAGCAGCACTGTGTGCATCTATGGATGCGCACAGCGCGGCTCGATAGCACACCCATTGCTATGGGGGCACACACAGGAGAGGAGGCGCAAACAGCTCTGGCAGGGGGGGGGGGTAAGACTACGTTCACACTAGCCTTGTGTGCAGGCGGCAGAGAGGTGTTTGGGAAGCGTTTTTACCGCCAATTCTGCACATTACAGCGCATGGTGCTGTTCTAACGGGAGCGTTTCCGTCACGGCAAAACGGACGCCTCTGGTCGAGTCAGGAGGCTTTGAAGCCTCCTATTCTCGTCTATGGTGCCGCTCCGCAAACACCCGGCCGGCATTTGCGGTGCGGTTGCGGGGCGTTTGCGGAGCGGGTAACACCACTCAAACTGCATTATAGGCGTTTGTGGGGCGTTATTAACGCTCGGCAAACGCCTAGCAACCGCCGCTAAACCGCGCATGCGGGCGTTTGCGGAGCGTTTGCCGAGCGTTAAAAAACGCTCCGCAAACGCCGGACCAATGCTTGCCAAACGCTATAGGGGCGTTTGGCAAGCGTTGGCAAAACAGCCTAGTGTGAACGAGCCCTTAAGGCAGTGGTTCTCAACCTTTCTAATGCCGCGACCCCTTAATACAGTTCCTCATGTTGTGGTGACCCCCAACCATAAAATTATTTTCGTTGCTAATTCATAACTGTAATTTTGCAGTGGGAGGACTAGCGTCCCATCACTGATGTCAGTGGGATGAATAGTGTCCCATCGTTGGTATCAGTGGGAGGAATAGTGCCCCATCATTGGTGTCAGTGGGAGGAATAGTGTCCCATCATTGGTGTCAGTGGGAGGAATAGTGCCCCATCATTGGTGTCAGTGGGAGGAATAGTGCCCCATTATTGGTGTCAGTGGGAGGAATAGTGCTCCATCATTGGTGTCAGTGGGAGGAATAGTGCCCAATCATTGGCGTCAGTGGGAGGAATAGTGCCCAATCATTGGCGTCAGTGGGAGGGAATAGTGCCTCATCATTGGCGTCAGTGGGAGGATAGTGCCCCATCATTGGCGTCAGTGGGAGGAATAGTGCCCCATCATTGGCGTCAGTGGGAGGAATAGTGTCCCATCATTGGTGTCAGTGGGAGGAATAGTGTCCCATCATTGGTGTCAGTGGGAGGAATAGTGTCCCATCATTGGTGTCAGTGGGAGGAATAGTGGTCCCATCATTGGTGTCAGTGGGGGGAATTAGTGCCCCATCATTGGTATCAGTGGGGGGGAATAGTGCCCCATCATTGGTATCAGTGGGGGGAATAGTGCCCCATCATTGGTATCAGTGGGGGGAATAGTGCCCCCATCATTGGTATCAGTGGGAGGAATAGTGGGCCCCATCATTGGTGTCAGTGGGAGGAATAGTGCCCCATCATTGGTGTCAGTGGGAGGAATAGTGCCCCATCATTGGTATGAGTGGGAGGAATAGTACCCCATCATTGGTATCAGTGGGAGGAATAGTGCCCCATCATTGGTGTCAGTGGGAGGAATAGTGCCCCATCATTAGTATCAGTGGGAGGAATAGTGCCCCATCATTGGTGTCAGTGGAAGGAATAGTGCCCCATCATTGGTATGAGTGGGAGGAATAGTGCCCCATCATTGGTATGAGTGGGAGGAATAGTGCCCCATCATTGGTATGAGTGGGGGTAGGAATAGTGCCCATCATTGGTGTCAGTGGGAGGAATAGTGCCCCATCATTGGTGTCAGTGGGAGGAATAGTGCCCCATCATTGGTGGGGTCAGTGGGAGGATAGTGCCCCATCATTGGTGTCAGTGGGAGGAATAGTGCCCCATCATTGGTGTCAGTGGAGGGAATAGTGCCCCCATCATTGGTGTCAGTGGGAGGAATAGTGCCCCATCATTAGTATCAGTGGAGGAATAGTGCCCCATCATTGGTGTCAGTGGAAGGAATAGTGCCCCATCATTGGTATGAGTGGGAGGAATAGTGCCCCATCATTGGTATGAGTGGGAGGAATAGTGCCCCATCATTGGTATGAGTGGGAGGAATAGTGCCCCATCATTGGTATGAGTGGGAGAATAGTGCCCCATCATTTGGTATCAGTGGGAGGAATAGTGCCCCATCATTGGTATGAGTGGGAGGAATAGTGCTCCATCATTGGTGTCAGTGGGAGGAATAGTGCCCCATCATTGGTGTCAGTGGGAGGAATAGTGCCCCATCATTGGGTGAGCAGTGGGAGGAATTAGTGCCCCATCATTGGTGTCAGTGGGAGGAATAGTGCCCCATCATTGGTGTCAGTGGGAGGAATATAGTGCCCCATCATTGGTGTCAGTGGAGGAATAGTGCCCCATCATTGGTATGAGTGGGAGGAATAGTGCCCCATCATTGGTGTGAGTGGGAGGAATAGTGCCCCATCATTGGTATGAGTGGGAGGAATAGTGCCCCATCATTGGTATCAGTGGAAGGAATAGTGCCCCATCATTGGTGTCAGTGGAGGAATAGTGCCCCATCATTGGTATGAGTGGGAGGGGAATAGTGCCCCATCATTGGTATGAGTGGGGGAATAGTGCCCCATCATTGGTATGAGTGGGAGGGAATAGTGCCCCATCATTGGTATGAGTGGGGAGGAATAGTGCCCCATCATTGGTATGAGTGGGAGGAATAGTGCCCCATCATTGGTATGAGTTAGGGAGGAATAGTGCCCCATCATTGGTATGAGTGGGAGGAATAGTGCCCCATCATTGGTATGAGTGGGAGGAATAGTGCCCCATCATTGGTGTCAGTGGGAGGAAAATAGTGCCCCATCATTGGTATCAGTGGGAAGGAATAGTCCCCATCATTGGTGTCAGTGGGAGGAATAGTGCCCCATCATTAGTATCAGTGGGAGGAATAGTGCCCCATCATTGTGTCAGTGGGAGGAATAGTGCCCTATTCATTGGCGTTAGTGAGAGGAATAGTGCCCCATCGTTGGTGTCAGAGGGGGAGGAATAGTGCCCCATCGTTGGTGTCAGTGGGGGGGAGGAATAGTGCCCATCGTTGGTGTCAGTGGGGGGAGGAATAGTGCCCCATCGTTGGGTGTCAGTGAGGGGAGGAATAGTGCCCCATCGTTGGTGTCAGTGGGGGGAGGAATAGTGCCCCCATCGTTGGTATTAGTGACACAAATGATGGGGCACTATCCCGTTCCACTGACACCAATGATACTTACCTTGCTGACTCCTGCTCCAGCCATGGGCTCGCTCTCCTCCCTCTCCCATCTACAGCCTGCATACCTGGCTGCAGCAGCAAAATTTGCACTTACCTGTCAGCTGTCTTCCTTCTCTGGCCTCTCTCTTTCACTCGTTCCTGCAGCTCCCTCGATCTTCTTCGATCACCCACGCGCTGCTGCTCGGCTCCTCCTCTCCAAGCTCCACCTTCTCCCCGGTGATTGGGCCGCCTGTGTGCCTCTCCTGAGCTACAGTTCCGGGTGGCCAATCAGCGGCGAGGAGGCGGTGACAGGGGGACAGGCATATCATCCCGCCCCACAACTTCGCCGGGACAGCAGCGGTGTCTCGGTTCCTAAGACCATCGGAAATATGTGTTTTCCGATGGTCTTAGCGACCCCTGGGAAATGGTCGTTCGACCCCCAAAGGGGTCGCGGGACCCCAGGTTGAGAACCGCTGCCTTAAGGGAAGGGAAGGGGTTCACTCTGTGCTACACAATTGCACAGCTCAGGTAAGTATAAACCACACTTTTTATTTTAATGAAAAAAATACTTTACAATCACCTTAATTTTAGTATTGTTAACATCCAGCGGTTATGATGTTGGTATGACTGAAGAATCTGGATATTGGGTTGGTAGCTTTTGTATACCAAAGGATTTCCATGATTAAGGGTAACAGTCTAGGATTGAAGTGCACACAGTGATGTTTAAGTCCTGATGTAAGTTTATTTCAAAGTGAAGTTCCAAAGACCTCATAGGCTACCTCAATAGATATTAGTATTTTTTTTTTTTTATCTTTGATTTTAAAATTTCAGCCCTGATGAAGGGAGTACATGTTGGATGTCGTAAATAACTTGTCTTTGGAATAAACGTATATCTGGACTTGAAAGTTATGGTGTGGCGCTTCAGTCCTAGGCTCACATTCCACAGTGAAGCCTCATCACACAGACAGGGCCCCAAGCTGCTCCTGAACAGAATAAGGCAGCTCACTGCTGCCACCAAAGAAAGACCCCGGACCTAACCAGACTATCCTGAAGACTGCAGAAAAAAAAAAAAAAAAAAGATTATGAATGAACACATCGAGTGATCAGTATTGATCATGAGTGTTCATTCAGGAAAGGACATATCTACCGGACCCTACCCTCACTTTCAACCCTGAAGGATCCTATTGTGTGAGTGCAGCTGCTGGTGGGAAGGAGAGGAGGGAAGCTGGCAGCACTGTGGGGGTGGGGCGCATGGACAGCAGAGGGAACGTATGGGTGGGTGGGAGGGTGATTAGCACAGCAGAGAAGGCAATTACTGGAACCGATCCCCTGCACGGCTCTCTCTGCAGCAGCTGAATTCAGCGGGAGGAAGAGAAGAAGACAGCTTTCGGCTGCTCCAGAGAAAGCCATACAGGGGATTGATCCCAGTAATTGCCTCTCCCCACCATGCCGATCACCTTCCCTGCCCACAGTTCATTCACCCAGCTGCCTTGGCCCCCAAAGAGGAGGACTGGTGGTACCCCCCTTATCCACAGCCCTGGTAATGAGAAGAAAAAGAAAATATAAAAGAACGTCATGGTGGGGAAGAAATGTTGGGATCACCTTGTTCCTTAAGTTCTCTGCTTTACAGTAAACCAGCCAGCCGGTTTTTAAACTTAAAAACAAAAAAAAAAAAAATTAAGCTCTACATAACAGCAGGCACTGAAAGATGTCTGCAAACTACCAGCCAACTCAAGATACCAGCACTGAGTGCTGCGGAGACTACAATGAGGTATTCATACTAGCTCCATTTACAAATATACACATATGCAGTATATACAGTTAGGTCCATATATATTTGGACACAGGCACAATTTTAGATTTTTTTCATGTATTTACCAAAACATTTTCAAGCTAATGTATAGTTATATAATGGATATGGGCTGAAAGTGCGCACTCTCAGGTTTAATTTGAGGGTATGTACATCCAAATTGGAGGAAGGGTTTAGGAATTACAGCTCTTAAGAGCAGCCATCCCCCCTTTTTCAAGGGACCAAAAGTAATTGGAGAATTGAAAAATAATCAAAATAAAATGTTCATTTTTAATATTTTGTTGAGAATCCTTTACTGACAATGACTGCCTGAAGTCTGGAATCCATGGACATGACCAAAGACTGGGTTTCCTCCTTTCTGATGCTTTGCCAGGCTCTAACTGCAGCTGTCTTCAGTTGTTCTTTGTTTGTAGGTCTTTCTGCCTTTAGTTTTGCCTTCAGCAAGTGAAATGCATGCTCAATTGGGTTGAGATCAGGTGACTGACTCGGCCATTGCAGAATATTCCACTTCTTTTCCATCAAAAGCTCCTGGGTTGCTTTTGAAGTGATCATTGTCCATCTGTACTGTGAAGTGCCGTCCAATCAACTTTGCTGCATTTGGCTGAATCTAGGCTGACAGTATATCTGTAAACTCTGCAGAATTCATCCGGCTGCTTCTGTCTTCTGTCACATCATCAATAAACACCAATGACCCAGTGCCACTGGAAGCCATGCATGCCCATACCATCACACTGCCTCCACCATGTTTTACAGATGACGTTGTGTGCTTTGGATCATGAGCTGTTCCAAGCCTTCTTCACACTTTTTTCTTCCCGTCATTCTGGTACAGATTAATCTTAGTTTCTTCCGTCTAAAGAATGCTTTTGCAGAACTGGTCTGGCTTTTTTAGATGTTTTTTGGCAAAGTCTAATCTGGCTTTTCTATTCTTCAGGCTTATGAATGGTTTGCACCTTGTGGTGAAACCTCTGTATTTGCTCTCGTGAGTCTTCTCTTGATTGTAGATTTTGACAATGATACGCCCACCTCCTGGAGAGTGTCCTTCACTTGTCTGGGTGTTGTGAATGGGTTTGTCTTTACCATAGAGAGGATCCTGCGATCATCCACCACCGTTGTCTTCCGTAGACGTCCATGCCTTTTTATGTTGCTGAGCTTACCAATGCGTTCTTTTCCTCAGAATATACTAGACTGTTGATTTGGCCACTCCTAATATTGCTGCGATCTCTCTGATGGATTTGTTTTGTTTTGGAAGCCTTACAATGGCCTGTTTCGCTTGCATGGACAGCTCCTTTGAACGCATGATGTAGGTTCACAGCAATAGATTCCAAATGCAAATACCACACTTAGAATCAACTCCAGACCTTTTACCTGCCTAATTGATGAAAAAATAACGAAGGAGTAGCCCACACCTGGCCATGAAACAGCTTCTGATTCAAATGTCCAATTACTTTTGGTCTCTTGGAAAAGGGGGTTGGCTACTCCTAAGAGCTGTATTTCCTAAACCCTTCCTCCAATGTGGGTGTACATACCCTCAAATTAAACCAGAAAGTGTGCACTTTCAGCCCATATCCATTATATAACTATAGCTTGAATATATTTTGGTAAATACCTGAAAAAAAACTAAACATTGTGCCTGTGGCCAAATATATACGGACCTAACTGTATATTTTTTTCCTATATCTACCTAGAGTGTAGCTTTAAATTAACTAATAAAAGTTGAACTATAAAAGATGTATTATCTCACCCTCTGACACATCGGTCAGTTGTGGTGTAGTTGCTCTTGATACGGAGAACCCTCCACTCTCCAGTATAGAGGCCTCTTCATCTGATAGCTCCGAGTCAGTAATAGAAAGAGCCAAGGCTGTGATCCGCACATCCATCTGGAACGAAACATTTAAATTAGGTAAAAAGTCAACTCCTCATTCTACAAAAAATAACCCTTGCATAACGGAGGACAAAGGAATGAGAAACACTGACCTATTCTCCATAAAACCCCATCTTTAGGTGTGCTATGATTTCCTGTGAGCTGCTGCCAGAGACAAGCTGTGTCAATTACAACTAATTTGCTATTTGTCTCCTAAGTGGTGTGGTTGAACAAGAACGGGGGAAGGGAGGGTAGGGGTGCAGACGGCCATGCTAGCTCTGCATTTACAGCACCAATCAAAACAGAACAAAGTGCTACACGCACAGTTTGCATTCAGGGGCCGTGCACCCGTACAAAAGCCAAAGTGGCAGCAGCAGCTGTGTCCCTGCGGCCCTTGTGTCCCAACTGACATCAATGGGACTGCCTGCACAGGGATGCATGGAACACCTGTGCATCCCTGTGCGGATGAACATGTTTCTCACGCAGGAATACGCCGTAATGCACTTTGAACGTTATTCTGCTTCTTTATCCTACTGCATCTTAATTATTATTATTATTACACAGTATTTATATAGCGCCAACAGTTTGCTCAGCGCTGTACATTACAATGGGAGACCATGCTGCATGAGACAGTACAATAACAATACAATAAAATACACGAGGGGTTCGAGGGCTCTGCTCCTTGGAGCTTACAATCTAGGAGGGAGGGGAGAGTGGGTACAAGAGGAAATAGCTGTGGGGGATGGAGTGGTAGGAAGAGTGGAGGAGATCAGCAGTTAGGTGAGGGTGGGGTAGGCTTCTCTGAAGAGATGGGTTTTCAGGGTGCGCATAAAGGTGAGGAGGGTAGGTGACAGTCTGATGGATTGGGGTAGTGAGTTCCAAAGGATGGGGAAAGGCCTGGAGACGGGCATGGGAGGAGGAGACCAGGGAACTGGAGAATAGGAGGTCTTGTGAGGAGCGGAGAGTGCATTTTGGGTGGCATTTGGATATCAGGTCAGTGATGTAGTTTGGGGCAGTGTTATGAACTGCTTTGTACGTCAGTGTTAGTTTTTTGAATTTTATGATTTGGGCAATCAAAAGCCAATGGAGGGAATGACAGAGGGGGGTGGCGGATACGGAGCAGCTGGTAAGGTGGATGAGTCTGGCCGCAGACTTCAGGATAGACTGAAGCGGGGATAGCCTGTGTTGCGGTAGGCCAGCGAGGAGGGAGTTACAGTAGTCAAGTCGTGATATGATAAGGGAGTGAATGAGTTACTTTGTAGTTTCTGGAGTTAGGAACGTGCGGATTTTGGATAAAATGGATCCCTTCTATTCCCAGAAAGAAAATAATGGGTCCAGTTGACTAGTTCAGCTTATCCCAGAAACATATTTACCCTCTTGGACCTTTTTGGGTAGTTCTCCATGTTAAAGTACTATTGGAGGGGCTGTAAGCTTGGCCTGCTGGGGTTTCACGATTGGATTTCTGGACATTGGGTCCATCTCCAATCTTCTTACCTCTGACCTCAACAATCGTGCACTGTGGGGTGTCCATCAGCTCAGGTTAAATACCCCTTTAGGGTTATTTTTCAGCTACAGAAAATTTCACCCCTTGAACCCCTGAAGAAGCCATCTGCGAAATGCATCGGGACATCATCCATTCAAGTCCCCCCCCCCATCTTCCTTATTTCTGGAATATATTGTTTTTTGCAATAGAACTAATATCATATTATTACATATACCTGGGGCAGATGATACTGGGGTTGCTGAGCTGCTTTTGGATCTATTTTTACATGCGTGTATTTTAGGGGATTATAACTTGAGATATTTTAAGGAACTAATAACAAATTTGCTTTATAAAAAGGTCTTTATGAATATTTTCTGAGGGGAGGATTTCAGCACCGTTCAAAATCCCAATACCCTTCTATTCCCAGCTCACTGCTCAGGCACTGCTTGAGACGGGGTACCAAACAGCAGGGACCAGCTTACCAGCAGAATCAGGAGGGAGCACTTAATGCATGAGAGGGCAGTATATCAGCGTCTTAACTTGTGTTTTAATAACAGGAAGAGCACAATAGGTGGGGGTCCTAGAGTCATAGTCTGATTTACGGTTTTCTTGACAATGTGCCTAATCCCAAGAGTAAAACTGTGTTTTATTACAATTTACTAGTCCTTAGGTGTGGTGCCTGCTTTAGTTTAACCTCCCTAGTGTCTGATTATATCAGTATTTCTGTGCTCAAAGCAGTATATTTTTTTTGCATGGAAATAGGTTGTTTTTTTATTGTAGGCCTGTCATTTTTAGGAATAACTCACTGAAATCTGTCCGAACAAGAGTCTAGTAAACATCCCGGGTAGGATAAAATTTGAAACACAAAATCATAAATTATAATATAATAAATAATCATAAAAAATAATAGTATAATAATAATAAATTTAATTCAATAATCAAACTAAAAACACTGAAATGTGAAATATAGCGCCAAGTTCGCACATCACTGAGCAAAGTCGTAAAATCGTTTTCAGTGTCTGATGATGAATTTCCCCCACGAATCATCACTCAATTCTGCAAGTGGTTCTAATTTACTATCGCTGTTCTCTAGCCGGTCTAAAACCGCTTTTGACACTTTTTGGACGCTTTTTGGACGCCATGGACATTTCTCAGTTTCCAGGCAGAAAGAACAGTAAAAATGCAGGCAGGGCGCCGGACAAAGCACTCGGGACAAAATGTATGTGAAATGGTTTGATACAGGAATGTTATACTATGTGATTTTAGTGTATTTAGTGAATGTCACTTTTTAAATTTCCCGCCAGTGCCGTCCCCCGTACACCCCGAAGTTCGCAGGGCCCGGAAGACGGATGCCGGCATCGGCCAGAGGAGATGGCCGGGGACGCTGCACGGGGGACATCGTGGGAGCGAAGGACAAGGTAAGTGCAAGAGGGAATCCCAGAGCAACGCTGCAGGGTTATCCCGAGTGTAGCTCGGGGTTATCGCTTTTGGTACTGAAAGTTAACCTCGAGCTACACTCAGGAATACCGCCAGGAGGGTTAATTTTTCAGGCTTTTTTTAACCCTTTATTTTCACGTGGTGATCCCGTCATCCCTCCTGTCCCAGAATGACAACACTCACTTGCTATATTGTATCTTTGCGTTACAGCGATTGGCCCTAGGACAGTAAATGTGCTGGACTACAAAAAAATGTCCCCCTCTCCTCCTCTCCATACCTAGGGAGTTAAGTACTGTAATCCACATACATACGTAGCGTGGAAAAAAATGTCACTAATAACAGGCAGCAGAAGTAAAAAGCACAGAAAGTTATCAACAGATATTTTTTTTTTGCTTTCATCAAAGAGACGCAAGCCCAGGAGCCTGTACCTTTACATACAAGTCAACTCTTATTTTTGTCCTCTGAGGCCTCACAGAACGCCACAATGGACATTACTAATTTTAGATGAACTCTACCATGTTCAGTTTTCTTTGCAGCAGGAATCCAAGATGGGATCACTTACCTCTGGAGAGAAGCCAGAGAGCTCAATCTCGCTCTCGCTGTCCGTCTCTGCTGTAGGCTCCTCTCCTTCCTCCTGCTCCTTTTTCACTTGTCTCTCTAAGAGTGGAGAGAGAGAGAGAAAGAGATAATATTTCTGCATCACAAAGGCTCACTGCAAATGGCTTGCTAAGCAGAAAAGCTGTTAAAGCTGAATACTGAATGCACTGCATTTCTCTCTGGGGCAGGGGTCTCCAAACATTTGAAACAAATGTCCAGTTTACTGTACTTGAGACTTTGCTGTAGGGGGGCAGAATGTGGCCAGTGGGAGTAGAAAATTCCCCATAGTCAGTTGGAGTAAAAAAAATTGAGCCTTTGGTCAATAGGAGGTGGAATAGTGCCCCATCATTGGTGTCAATGGGGGGGAATAGTGCCCCATCATTGGTATCAGTGGGGGGAATAGTGCCCCCATCATTGGTATCAGTGGGGAGGAATAGTGCCCCATCATTGGTATCAGTGGGAGGAATAGTGCCCCATCATTGGTATCAGTGGGAGGAATAGTGCCCCATCATTGGTATCAGAGGGAGGAATAGTGCCCCATCATTGGTATCAGTGGGAGGAATAGTGCCCCATCATTGGTATCAGGGGAGGAATAGTGCCCCATCATTGGTATCAGTGGGAGGAATAGTGCCCCATCATTGGTATCAGTGGGAGGAATAGTGCCCCATCATTGGTATCAGTGGGAGGAATAGTGCCCCATCATTGGTATCAGTGGGAGGAATAGTGCCCCCATCATTGGTATCAGTGGGAGGAATAGTGCCCCATCATTGGTGTCAGTGGGAGGAAATAGTGCCCCATCATTGGTGTCAGTGGGAGGAATAGTGCCCCATCATTGGTATCAGTGGAAGGAATAGTGTCCCCATCATTGGTATCAGTGGCCCCATCATTGGTAATAGTGCCCCATCATTGGTATCAGTGGGAGGAATAGTGCCCCATCATTGGTATCAGTGGGAGGAATAGTGCCCCATCATTGGTATCAGTGGGAGGAATAGTGCCCCATCATTGGTATCAGTGGGAGGAATAGTGCCCCATCATTGGTGTCAGTGGGAGGAATAGTGCCCATCATTGGTATCAGTGGAAGGAATAGTGCCCCATCATTGATATCAGTGGGAGGAATAGTGCCCCATCATTGATATCAGTGGGAGGAATAGTGCCCCATCATTGATATCAGTGGGAGGAATAGTGCCCCATCATTGGTATCAGTGGGAGGAATAGTGCCCCATCATTGGTGTCAGTGGGAGGAATAGTGCCCCATCATTGGTATCAGTGGGAGGAATAGTGCCCCATCATTGGTATCAGTGGGAGGAATAGTGCCCCATCATTGATATCAGTGGGAGGAATCCCATCATGGTGAGTGAAGGAATAGTGCCCCATCATCACAGTAAGGAATAGTGCCCCAAATGGTGGGAGGAATAGTGCCCCATCATTGGTGTCAGTGGGAGGAATAGTGCCCATCATTGGTGTCAGTGGGAGGAATAGTGCCCCATCATTGGTGTCAGTGGGAGGAATAGTGCCGCATCACTAGGGTAAATGGAGGAATAGTGCCCCATTGTTTCTGTCAGTGGAAGAAATAGCACCTGTCATTGGTGTCAGTGAGAGGAATAGTGTTCCATTGTTTATATCAGTGGAAGATTTTGTGCCTCATTGTTGGCGTCTGTTGAAGGAATAGTACCCAGTCGTTGGTGTCAGTGGGGGGAATTATGCCCCACTGTTGGTGTCAGCGTAAGAAATAGTGCCTCTTATTAGTGGGAGGAATAGTGCCCCAAGGGTTCATAGAACTGCAACAAAATGGCCGCGGCGACACTTCCGGTTAGCGTGCGTGCGTGATGACGTCACTCCCCTAACGCGTTTCGTCACTTCCGACTTGATCCCTTCAGATGAAGTCCGGAAGTGACGAAACGCGTTAGGGAAGTGACGTCATCATGCACGCACGCTAACCGGAAGTGTCGCCGCGGCCATTTTGTTGGTTGGAAACATGTGATTTTCAACCTGAAACTTGAGAGAGATACTGGAAGCAGGATTTCCCTGTTTTATATGTAAGTGACTATTAAAATTTGTCCCTTTTTATGGATTCTGCCTAAGAGCCTTTTATGCTTTTATGAGGAATTGGGAGGAATACCTCTGAAAATGAAGGATTGAGAAATACGGATTTCCTATGTCAGCTCATGCTTGAAAATACTGGAAGAGGGTAATAGTACCTGGTATCACTTTTGGCTGGAGTTTAGAGGCTACTAGTACCTAGTATCACTACTCACTTGTGATTGGAGTGATCACGTTTTTCACCATTTGGGTTTTATTTATTTATTTTATTTATCTATTTATTTGGATTGTGATATATATCTAATTTATTTTGCACAAATTTTTGGTGTGTTTTGTGTTGTGCACAGAGTGAAGTGTATATATATATATATATATATATATATATATATATATATATATATATATTTTTTTTTTTTTTTTTTTTTTTTTAAAGGGTAACGCACTATGAATTTTCTTTTTTCTTTCTTTGAGGTGATCATGGAGTTTTAGAACCAATTTCTGCTTTACTGGATTGAAGGAAAAATGTGGAACTTGGACACTTTGGGTTTATTGAATATAATTTTTTATAATTTTTTTATATATATATTTTTTTTTGTTTATTTTTTTTTTTGGTTTTTGGTCTTTTTGCTTTTAAGACAAAATTGCGTGTGGATTTATGTTAATACAATTTAGTCGAAGTCATATTGATTATATTAATAGTTGGAGTTTTTACGGGGATTTATGTGTACCACAAAAAAGATTTATTATCCTGAGAGTCTGCAGGAGCTGGACATTGCACCCATGATCTGCTGATCGTAGATGCAATGCTCTGCAGGCTTCTTAGAAAAAAATAATAAATGCACATTTTTTACCTAAAAATTGCTCAAAAATTGTCAACAAGCCAGCGAGTGGATCAGACCTGCCTTTTTGTTACACAAAGCCACAGCTTTTTATTGTGCAGCCTTACATCCTTGGGCATCAGGCGAGCCAGCTGCTGGAATCCTAACAACTGATGATGTCATTGGTCGATAAGGAGGACTGAGTGAGAGAGAGAGAAACTGAGGGAAAAGAGAAATGTTGAAATAATAGTCTGTATCAGGGTGCAGAGATGTATTTGCTTAGTAGGAAAAAAAAAAATCACCTCTAATATTAAATGTTGAATACTGCAGACGCTGCTGAGATTTGTAAAACTCTTAGGTTTGTTTTTTACAGTTCAGAATGGGGTGCCTGGAGATGTGCAGAATATTAAAGGGTGGCTTGACTGAAAAAAAGTTTGAGAACAAATGCTTTAACCCTTTTGCTGCCAGGTCTGTATGGCGTACAGACCTGACAGCAAGGGGTTCTGCAGCCACTGGGATTGTGTGTAAATCTGACAAGCAGACAACTGCCTGTCAGGTGAAAGCAGTCCGGCACCTCTGGTGGCGCCAGATTGCTTTCATACCCCCCCCCCCGGTAATGGGATCCCACCCCACTTTTTGTTCCCTTTGTTATGGGAAAAGAAGTAAAAAATTTTTTTTCTAATGTTAAAAAATGTAAATTACACCCAAGTATATAAAATCCCCCTGTAGGGACGCCTGTGCATGGAAACATGGTTTGCGGTACACTTTACATATCTCTGCATGCCGGAGAGCAATATTGTGAGCTAAACTGATGACTATAGAACGCTTTTAAAGTGTTGTCTATAGAAGTTTTTCGCCATTTCATGGGTGCACATTTAAGGTTTGACATATGGGGTATTTACTCGGTGCAACCTCATCTTTTATATTTTACAAAAAATTGTGTGATTTATTGCATTTGTTTGCCCTAGAATTAACTTTAGTGTATTTTTTACAGAAATGCTGCATTTTCTAGACTTTTGTGTGTGGCGTAAAAAATTAGAATGACCACTATTTAATTCTCTAGGAAGTCTACTTTCACAAAATATATAATATTTTGGGGGTTTATACAACCTTCAGGCCTAAAATTATTTTTAACCGTGTGCAAAAAAACCCGGCTCTGGCAGCGAGGGGGTTAAACCCTATCAGGATTTATATAGCGCCAACAGTTTGCTCAGCGCTTTACAATATAAAACGGGAGACAATACAGCAACAATACAGTTCAATACAAGAGGGTTAGGAGGGTCCTGATCCTGGGAGCTTACAATCTAGGAGGTAGAATAACACTTACTCTTGTGTGAGCGAGGCAGGTCCTCTCCCTTCATAGTATAATCAATCTTCATTAGAACAGGCTCTAGAGTGGTGTACATCCTCTGGATCAGCTCCCGGTATACAACCAGTGGCCACAATAGGACGCTGAGTACTAGAAGGGAGATAAAGAGTGCTACGGTCACATGCATAGGTTTGTATGGGCATACAAAATGCTATAACAATTATTGGAGATCTTACGTATTATGTAGGAAATCATAATGCCCGGAACATAATGTCCAACAACAGCCAGCACTGCACAGCACGAACAAACCATGGCACAGAACTGAGGCAGAGAGAGAAGAAAATGAATAAACTGGATATGCAAAGATGAAGTTACCAGCCCCTAGGTCCCAGTGCAGAAAAGGAGGGTTAGACTAACCCAGACGTGAGATGGAGGCCAGAAGATCTGATTTGCTCAGTAAAACAGTTGAGATGTTAATACGCACCATTGCTTTAGGTCAGTGGTTCTCAACCTGGGGGTCGCGACCCCTTTGGGGGTCGAACGACCCTTTCACAGGGGTCCCCTAAGACCATCAGAAAACACATATTTCCGATGTGTAAAGAGCAGCTGCTGTGTAGAAAGCAGCTGCTGTGTTGAAAGCAGCAGTATTGGAGGTAAAACGACACTCATGAATTATAATTACTGGGTAAATAATTTTATGGTTGGGGGCCACCACAACATGAGGAACTGTATTAAAGGGTCACGGCATTAGGAAGGTTGAGAACCACTGCTTTAGGTGAACATGCCTGTTTATGAAGCAGGCACCCCTGGCAGTACCCCCATCTCCAAGAAAGGAAAGCAATTATCAGGGAAAATTTATTTCAGATGATTACATTCTTAAACATTGGATATACCAGCCAGAAAGTGTTCAGAGATCAACAATCACCTGTCAAAGGACAGCACTAGAGAGTTCCATAATGGTTCTGACAGCTGACTGACAGGGGAGGGGCTCGGAGTGGGGGGAGGCTGGGATGAACTCTGACTCTTCTCATTTGCATATCTGTACTAGCCATGTCAAAAGTGGAAATAAAAACAGAAATCATCATTCTTAGTTGGTCACTCAAAGTATTGAGCAAGAGAATCAGCATGACAGTCGAACTAGTCATAGAAGTAGAACTAGTTCAAAAGGAGGGATCAGTGATGGCGGCCGGCTTGTTACAGCAAACCTGTTGAAAAATCTAAAAATCCCAACAATCCCAGCAAACAGCAGGACCAGATAGTTAGCAGCACAAATTTCTTACATTTACATTTGTCACTCCAGCCTCACCTGGAGCAACCCCACCCTGCCCCCATTTCCTGAACAGATACTCCTCCTGCCCCTATTCCAAAGGGTAAGGCTGGTCATACACTCTACAATTTTCTGTCCAATATCTGCGCAATTTCCTTTAGATTTACCTTCAATTATCTTCAATTCAATATGTAGTGCAAGGGCCTGCCTGACTGGATACAATTGAAAGTGTTGTTTAGGTATGACCTCATATTATATGTTTTTTGGTAAATCTAAAGCAAAATTCTCAAGAAAATTGTATAATGTATGGCCAGCCTAATGCAGGCCATAGATGGGTCAAAAATCGCCCGATAAAAAAATAAATAAAAAAAAAAAATGCTGATTTTCGCACCGTTAATGGGTTAATTGGTCGGCTGTTTTGGCACTTTTTTTTTAATCGGTGAAGTTGGAAAAAAAAAAAATAGGCCCATTTTCCCGGCAATGATGGGGGGAGGGGGGGGGGGGTTTGGGGAGAGAGGAGGAGGGGAGGAGGAGGGGAGGAGGAGGAGGGGAGGAGGAGGGAAGGAGAGGAGGAGGGAGGAGGAGGAGGAGCCTGCATTTGGCATGGGGGGGCCTGAATGACCTGCCAGCAACTGTGTGTGTGTTTGCATAGCCTCAGTGCTCCAAGCACCAGTATAGGGACTCATGTACACTGCAGCTGATAAACAGACGTTCAGGAGCATTTCTGCGTTTTTTTTCAGCAGCCCTGAACTCTCCCTAATATCTTCCTGTAGTGTCCATGTACACATCGTCGTTTACAGGCAGTTGAGTTTACAGTCGTTTTTTTGAACGCACCAAACTTGCGTTCAGGAGTAGATTTTACCGGTGTTTCAAACGCCAAACGCTTGTAAATGCGGTTAACCGTGTTTATAAGTGTTTGCCTTTAGAAGTGTTTTTTTTGTTCCTGTTCCATGTCCAGATCCTTTTTTTCATCATCAGAAATGCATGCAAAGCGTTTTCCAATGCATTCAAATGGACCCGGTACACCAGCGCAGTCAGTTCCAGGTTTGGCGTGAAGGAATAAACGGTAGAACGCGCCGCATTATGCTCATGATAGGATCCATAGTGAATACAACCAGAAAAGACAGGTCATCTCAACACATACTGCTCTCTCTATTTCTCTCAAAAGGTCTGAAATAGTTCATTTTTTACTGATTTTCAGTGCATTTGGGAAGGTCTCCTGAGGTTATCTTTAAAAACGCTTCTAAATGCAAACGCACATAAACGTGGTTTTTTTAACCTACGTTTTCCAGCAGTCAGTTTCCATCCTTCAGAAGAGTTTTCCCAAACGTCCCGTGTACATGGAGCCCTTATACCTTCAGCTAAATAGCCCTGCTGTTATTTTAGTATAGTTCTCCCCCACCCAAGCGGCACTTTGCTCAAGTTGTATCTTACACAGAGCTATGGATTCTCCCCATGTGACAGTGCTGGTGCTTGGTAATTGGCCCAGCGCTGTCACATACAGTGAATTACATAATTCTCTATATAGGAGTAGTGGACATTTTCTCTCCTCCTGACAGCTGGAGAAGTGGAAGGGCAGTGATGCAATAGTGAATAAGATGAAATGGGGAGAGTGGACTTGAAGCAAATTGAATGTTTTGTATCGGCAAAGCATACGTTTGCATTAAGGAGTAAATGTAATGCTTTACTGTTCCACTGCTATACAACATAAACTGGGTCATGTAACAAAGACTTAGCATAGGAACCAAGAATTACAGATGACTTAACTATCATTCCTTTGGGGAAAAATGTTTAAAGATCACCTTTTAACCAAAAATAATAAATGCACATTTTTTGCAGGTAAAAAAAAAAAAAAAAAAAAAAAAAAAAAAAAAAGTGCATTATTTATTTATTTATTTTTGTTTCTGAAGTCTCTAGATCATTGCACCAGCAATCAGCAGATAGCGGATGCCATGCAACTCTCCTGCAGACCTGTCAGTGTATCTGTGTGCCCGTATGCCCCAGACAGGCAAGCAGATATGTTCTGACAGGTAGACTTGAACTTCATTGAGAACTACAAGCCGAGAGCCGTGAAGGCTGCTGGGACTAGTAGTTTACTTATTCACAGACTATTGTGAATGAATGACGCAACCGGGAGGGCGGAGCCCATCACAGCCACGGTTTAAAAAAAATTGTGACAGCTAGTGGGGGGAGAAGATTCCCCACTAGCTGCCACAATGGGGGATCGGAGAGGTGCGGGGTGGCTGATCTGTTCGTAACATGTTACACCCTGAATATCAGTACCCTATAAAAGGATAAGTGCACTTTAAACAAGTGCCTCCTTATCCTTCTCTGATCTAACCCACCTTTCACCCCCCACAGATACATACTTACCTCAGTCTGATAGCCGTGGTTCTGCTGTTTGTTTACATCCATCAGATACGGACTATGGGGCCATCTCTGACGAAGTCTCACTTTGCCGAAGATGATCATAGATGGTCCCATAGAAGTCTGTGGGGATATACACACAGTACAGCCAGGACTGTAAAGACTTTCTGTGCTGAATGTAAACAGTGGCCCCACAGCTGTCAGACCAAGGTTAGTATGCATTTGTGGAGGGCGCGTAAGTGTGTGTCAGAGGTAGGTGGCAAAAGGACTTTGTTTTAACCACTTCCCGTGTCTGGCCCATGTATATAAACGGCCGGACGGGAGCATTGCAGGAGCGGGTGGCCGTTTATAAACATCCTCCTCTTGCCCCGCCTGTGCGCGCTCCCTGGGAGTGCGTGGCACCGCGATCTGGTGCCCACTGTGTCCTCCGGAGGACAAAGCGGAACACCGATCGCTGTACGGGACCTCTGTGTGAGGTCCTGATCATGTGATCACTGATTGGCCAATCAGTGATCACATGAATAGTAGTAAGCAAAATGTCACTTCTGACATCATTGCTTACTACTAGTAAAATCTGTGTATGATCACAGAGGTCACATGGTACAAGGCCATTCACAACAGCCTTTTACCGTGTGACAAGCTGTGACCAATCACAGCTCACACAGTATTTCTCAATGACTGCAAGAATGCACACAGAGAGAAGGAGAATTTATTGCTTTTACAGATTTTATGGGTGTAAAAGCAATCAGTGTAAAAAAAAAAAAAAAATCTTCATCACCCCCCACAAGTATGGTGACACTGTACTGCTAGGGTGACAGTATGTTTAAAAAAAAAAAAAAAACAAAAATATAAAAAAATTAAATAAAACTTTTGGCCAAGATTTATGAAGAAAGATTATTTGCAAAATTTTATAAGAAAAACACTTTTTTCTTTCAGAATGTTTGGACTTTTTCATTTATATAGCAAAAAAATAAAAATCCCAGTAGTGAATAAATACCACCAAAATAAAATTTTATCTGTCTCAAAAAAATGTTAAAAAATTCATATGGGTACAGTGTTGCATGACCGCTCAATTGTCATTCAAAGTGTGATAGCGCTGAAAGCTGGCCTGGACAGGAAGGGGGTGAAAGTGTCTGGACTTGAAGTGGTTAATAGCAAAAAGTCAAAAATATAGGGTTTTTTTTTTCCAGAATGGTCTGTCTTTTTTTGTTTATAGTTCAAAAAAATGCACTTACAGTTTCAATCTATCCCACTCATGTCTCTAACAAAGGCAACCCACAGAAAGCAGCAAATAACCTGTCATGTAGCGCCCCGTCCAAATGTGAATAACATTAAACTGTAATTCCGACTCACCTTGCCTGGGTTCTGCTTTTTGTAGAGCAGCAGTTCCTGGCTGTATTGCTGGCAGGTGAGCCACGTCTCAGCCACATAATGGCACAGCTCACGCACACTCAGCAGCCGGTGCTGACTCGAGCCTCCTGCGGAAACCAGCGTCTCACTACAAATACACAGCGGAGGGATGTTTAGACTAAATTAATGAACTATTTGTAACATTTTCTCAAATGACATTCGCTGGATCTCAGACAATGGGGTAGATATACTAAAACTGGAGCACTCAGAATCTGGTGCAGCTGTACATGGCAGCCAATCAGCTTCTAACATCAGCTTGTTCAATTAAGCTTTGGCAATAAAACCTGGAAGCTGATTGGTTCCTATGCAGAGCTGCACCAGATTTTGCACTCTGCAGCTTCAGCAAATTAACCCCAATATTTTGGATACTATAAAATATGTGAAGACAACTGGAACACAGTTGTCTCTCTTTCTACTTGCTGCCATGTTTGAAAATGTCACCTTCCAAGTCCAGCCCAGGCAGCTTTATAATCCTTACAGACCAGAGCAATTTTTGCAATTCTGCTTTGTCATTATGTAACAAAGTAATCTTTTTTCCAAAACAAACATGGTGATATTATCTAGCAGAAAATATTTTGCTTGTGCTTACCTGTCACTGGATGTCTCTGCCCGAGTCTGAACTGTAAAACAAGAAAGTTCAGTCATTGAAAGAAAAAAAAAAAAAAAAAAAAAAAAAAAGATATCCCGCCTTCCATCCCAATGCAGATATATGAACCATTTTCCTTGCAAACATATTTGCAGTTTTGTTCAGCCAGTCTTTTGATTCACGCACTTTTGCAGCACAGCCAGCATTGTTAATTGCCTCCCTGTTCTTTCCTCCTGTAGGCTGCCTGATCATCCTTTAAGTTTAGTGTGCCTGAAAACATGTTACATTGACCACATTTTTACTCAACGTGCACTTTTTGTTCAGCCAGTAGGCTGATCAAAAAAACAAAAAGAAAAACAAACAAAAATAAAAAAAACTGAACCAAATCCCCCATCCTCACAATGATGTGGATATGGGAATCCTCCCCACTGTCATTGTATTCTGACAGTGAAGGAGTCAGCTGAACTCCTCTGCTGTCAGAATACACGGATCAGTGCTGCAGTGCTGATAGGACTAAAGTTTTCCAGAAAGCCCATTTGTCACCAGTCGATCAATAGATTGAACAGGACTGCCCATAGATGGATAGGAATTCGGCTGTACCCTGCTGAACCAGCGTAATTTTGTTACATCTATGGTCAGTATAAAAAGCTTTTTTTTTTGGCAAGCATTTAGCAACAAAGAACGCTGTAGCCTCCCTAGTGGTCTGATTATGTCAGTATTTCTGTGCTCAAAGCGGTACTTTTTTTGCATGGAAATATGTCGTTTTTTATTGTAGACCTGTAATTTTTAGGAATAACTCACTGAAATCTGTCTGAACAAGAGTCTAGTAAACATCCCGGGTAGGATAAAACTTGAAACACAAAATCATAAATTATAATTTAATAAATAATCATAAAAAATAATAATACAATAATAATAAATTTAATTCAATAATATAATCAAACCAAAAACACTGAAATGTGAAATATAGCGCCAAGTTCGCACATCGCTGAGCAAAGTCGCAGAATCGTTTTCAGTGTCTGATGAGGAATTTCCCCCACGAATCATTATCACTCAATTCTGCAAGTGGTTCTGATTTACTATCGCTGTTCTCTAGCCGGTCTAAAACCGCTTTTGACCTAAAGGGACGCTTTTTGGACGCCATGGACGTTTCTCAGTTTCCAGGTAGAAAGAACAGTCAAAATGCAGGCAGGGCGCCGGACAAAGGACTCGGGACAAAATGTATGTGAAATGGTTTGATACAGGAATGTTCTACTATGTGATTTTAGTGTATTGAGTGAATGTCACTTTTTCACATTTTTTGAATTTCCGGCCAGTTCCGTCCCCCGTATGTCCCGACGTTGCAGGGAATGGAAGCCAGAAGACGGATGCCGGCATCGGCCGGAGGACATTGCCGGGGACACTGCAGGAGGGACATCACGGGAGCGCAGGACAAGGTAAGTGAAGAACAGAACCCGGAGCAACGCTGCAGGGTATTCCCGAGTGTAGCTCGGGGGGGTTAGCGCTTGTGGTGCTGAAACTTTACCCCGAGCTACACTCGGGAATACCGCCAGGGGGGTTAAGCACACAGCTAAACAAGTGAGAAAAGTGATTTGTCACCTCTCTCTGCTCCCTATTGCTCCATTAGACTTTCAATTCAAGAGCAGATTTGAAAGCAAGCAGCCTCTGCCGTGCATTATCATTTATAAATCTAAAACACTCTTTAATTATTGTGTCATGTGTATACCTTCAACAGAGAACAAAAAAACATGTGTATACCTACCTGCTCTGTGCAGTGGTTTTGCACAGAGCAGCCCGGAACCTCCTCTTTTCGGGTCCCCCACAAGCTCTCCAGGCTTCTCATTATCAGGTGCCCGCACAGCAAGCAGCTTGCTATGGGGGCACCCGCTGCACCATGTGTCCATATACACATGGAGCTGTGACTTGGCCCTGCCCCCTCTCTCTCATTAGAGCATTAGGCCCGCGGGTCCGCATTCCTCTGTGCAATTGGTGCGGCTGCACAGATTTAATGCAGATCCACAGCAGCACCACCCGCACAGATGTGAACCTAGCCTTATTTTCTGAATTCACTGCACGCTGTGAGCTTCTCACAATGTGCATTAGAAGTTACCCCTGGTTCACATATATGCGGCCGTGCGGGACGCGTTTTGTGCGGGCACGAGAGCCCATTCATTTGAATCGACTCCCGTGACACGCAGGGAAGAAGTCCCTGCATTTCTTCTGAAAACGCAGCCCGCACGGGAACCTCAGTTCCCAGTATGGTTGCGTTTTCCAGTACGGGTGGCGTGCTATTTGAACTAATGGCACTCGCCCGCGGGTTTGCATTCCTCTGTGCGGGTGGTGCGGCTACATGGATTTGCGTGCGGATCCGCAGCAGCACCACCCGCACAGATGTGAACCTAGCCTTAATCTCTGAATTCACTGCACACTGTGAGCTTCTCACAATGTGCATTAGAAGTTAGCCCCGGTTCACATATATGCGGCCGTGCGGGACGCGTTTTGTGCGGGCACGAAAGCCCATTCATTTGAATGGACTCCCAGCTCCCCAGACACGCAGGGAAGTCCCCCTCTTCTGAAAGCGCAGCCCGCACGGGAGCCTCGGTTCCCAGTACGGTTGCGTTTTCCAGTGCGTGCGGCGTGCCATTAGAACTAATGGCACCCGCCTGCGGGTTCGCATTCCTCTGTGTGGGTGGTGCGGCTGCACGGATCCACAGCAGCAACACCCACACAGATGAGAACCTAGCCTTAATCTCCATCAACAATTGGTGTTTCTAGCAAAGCAAGTAGGTTTGTAAGAAGCAGGGTACAGCTCCACATGTCGGCTGGAAATAGATATAATATGAAATGTACATATGGAATATTTAATTTTTACCTAAATGTTGAAAGAAAAAAAAAAAAGAAAAATACTTTTACCAATTTTATTTTTTAGTGCTGAATATAATAAAGAGTATATTCATAAACCACCAACCATTTGCTACAGATATTGTACCTACTCATGCTCTTGTTGCCATAGGAACAGATTTTTAATGTACATCTTGCAGTTTTGTGTTGACTGCAACTTTTTAATACTTAATAACTGAAAGACGTATGTACATTTACATGAGATTCAATGCAGCGGTTAATCTCACTTCTCTATTAAAAAGACGATTAAAAAATAAACGCTCCGCCTGAGCAGATGTTATATAAGATCAGACAGAGGTGTGTTACCTTTACAGTGCTGAAGTAACCAGATCTTCCAGTGCTGCACGCCCAGGATACACAGGAGAGAGAAGCTGACCAGGAACAGAGGTCGCGGGGACAAGTATGAGAACAGCCTGGAATTACAAAGTCAGCATCTATCAGTCTCTTTCCATTTACCAGCACAAATATATTGAAGTACAGCAATGAACTGGATGTTAAAGAGAACCTGTCACAATTTAGCACAAGCAAGATCTAAATTACTTTTTTTTTTTTTTTTTAACCACTTGCCCTCCAGAGGATTTACCCCCTTCCTGACTGGGCCATTTTTTGCGATACGGCGCTGCGTTACTTTAACTGACAATTGAGCGGTCATGCAAGACTGCACTCAAACAAAATTTATGTCCTTTTTTTCCCCACACATGGAGTTTTCTTTCGGTAGTAGTTGATTGCCTGTGCGTTTTTTTATTTTTTGCACAATTTTGAGAAAAAAACTATATTTTTTTACTTTTTGCTATTAAACATGTCCAGTAAAAAATTTTTAAAAATCTAATTTTGTCATAAAATTAGGCCAAAATGCTCCATGTCTTTGCTAAACAAAATCCCAATACGTGTAAATTAATTGGTTTACGTGTAAGGGTTATAGTGTCCACAAATGGCAGTATAGATACTGGAATTATTTTTTTTTTATATGTAATGGCAGCAATCAGCAACGTATAGATAGCGGGACTGCGGCGGGCATTCTGACACTAGGTGGGAACTGTCACTGACATCCCCAGTGACACCAATACAGTGATCAGTGCTAATAAAAAGCACTGACACTCTACTGACACTGGGCAGGAGGGAGTTAAAATCTGGGGCAATCAAATGGTTAACTGTGTGCTGTTTCACTGTGTTCTGTGTGTGTTTTACAGTGTAAGCATGCTATGCAGAGCCATACAAAGCAGCGTACTAGAGCTGACAGGGGAGAGATCTGCATTGTTTACATACGGACCTCTCCCCCCCCCCATCAGTGATACTTGGTGATCGCCGGGTGCCAGCAGGGAATCTCCGGCCGGGACCCGGTGATCAACAGCTGAAGTTGCTAATGGCGGCGTGGGAACATGTTACATGTTCCACCCTAAAAATGGGTGGAACATGTAACATGTTCCCAAAGGTGAACTCATCCTTTAAAGCAAGCAGTAGGCTGGCACTTGGGAGAAGTTTTATAAATATCAAAACGCCTTGATTGGGTGGATGTCAGTCAGGAGGGGTGGCTATTCCTAGGAAGACTATTTGCATGCAGACCACCCTAGGTAACACCCACATGTGATGCTGAATCTCCATGATTGAAAGAACTGAAATCCAATGAATGCAAGGGAGGGGCCACAGACAATCAGGCTGAGGAGGAAACAGTTGGATGATTCAGGATGTCCCCCAGCCAGGAAATGATCTAACGTGATGTAAGACTAGGCTCTCATCTGTGCGGGTGGTGCCACTGAGGATCTGCACAGAAATCCGTGCAGCCGCACCACCCACACAAAGGAATGCGGACTGGTGCCATTAGTTCTAATGGCACGCCGTCCTCACTGGAAAACACAACTGTACTGGGAACCGAGGTTCCAGTGCGGGCTGCCTTTTCAGAAGCAGTGCAGGAACTTCTTCCCTGCGTGTCCCGAGGCACAGAAGTCCATTCAAATAAATGGGTTCAAGTGCCCACGCAAAACATGTACTCTTTTAATTTTGATTTAAAGGAAAAGTTCAAAAAATAATAAATGCACATCTTTTTGCAGATGAAAGAAATGTGCATTTGGTAAATGTTTTAATTGGAGCCTGCAAAGCATTGGACCAGCGGTCTGCTGATCACAGGTGCAATGCAGGACTCCTGTAGACTGTCAGTGTAAGCTGTCTGCTCATACCTTGTACAGGCAAGCAGTTACACAATGACAATAAAAATGTATGTATGAATGTAAGTTAAGGACCTTAGATTGTACGCCCCTTGAGGGTTAGGGACTGATGTGAATGTACAATATATATGTAAAGCGCTGCGTAAATGGACGGCGCTATATAAGTACCTGAAATAAATAAAAACAATGAACTACCACAGCACTCAACAGTGCCCTGGTAGTTTGAGAGCTGCAAAGGCTGTTGGTACTTGTAGTTCTCCCATCCGTGGACCTCGATGTATGATGTGGCCGGGTTGGTGGAGCCCTGCAAGGCTGCGTTTTATTTTTTAAATTGTGACAGAGAGTTCGCAGAGAAGATCCTGGCTCGCTGTCACTAGAGGCGGCGGGTCAAGGAGAGGCTGCAAAAATGGGAACATGTTACATGTACATGCACTTTGGTGATGTCTGGGGCCGCACTTGAGGCTCTCTATAAAAAAGAAAGTTGACCACCACTGCTATAGAGTGCCACTTGTGTGACACCTCCGAGTCTGCTGACATCACATTCAATATGGCGGCACTCAGCTGCAGTCTCAGGGCTTTTGGACATCTACACAAGAGAAGGATTTTACAGGTAAATAACACGTATAAAATACATTAAATACACATGAAATCCTTTGGGTAGATTTTTGTTGCCTTGGTGACATGGTCTCTTTAAAAATCCCTGTACTAAATACATCTGTTTTGGGTAGAATGACCAAGTAAAGCCTAACTCCACGTTTAATGCCCTTTAAATAGTTTACAAAAAATATATATAAAAACTTGCGCCAAAGGAATGTGAAAAATTGAATGCTGCTGTTCAAAAATTGATTAAACATCAAAATATACTTATAGAAGTGATACAGATCAAATAATACAAATAATCCAAATGTGAAAAAATTATAAGTCCAACAAAAAAGCCCCAAATTAAAGTCCAATGTCCCAAAAATTTGTGAAAAAATATATTTTTATAGAACTGTAACTCAAACCTCATAAATTTTCCAGCATGCTCACATCTATAAAAAAAGTTTTTTTGATCCACACTCACCAAATACTGTGAAGTTTGAGTTACAGTTCTATAAAATATATTTTTTTTCACACATTTTTGGAACATTGGACTTTAATTTGGGACCTTTTTTTTGGACTTTAATATATTATTTTTTCACATTTGTATTCTTTGCGGTGTATCACCTTTAAATAGTTTGTTTGGGCCAAGCTGACCAAACAAACTATTTACTGTACGAACAGATGCACTAGCTGGATGCGCTTTGAACTGTATGTAGCTCAGCTATACAGTATACAGAGCTGTGTTCTGGCAGTTGAACAGGAACTTCCTATCTCACTCTTGAATCAGAGTCAGGCTAAGCGCTGCTCAGCCATTCATGGAAAGATTTGTATTTTAAGAATAAATACATGACTTCTGCTGATTGGCTGAGGTGGAGAGGCGTATGTTTCAGTAAATAAAGTTCCAATAATACCATACATGTGGATATGTTTGCAGATTTTTATAATATTAAAGACCGTGCACCACTTGATGTTCTCTATGGTTTCTGGAATCTTACCAAAACACTCCATGGAGAGCAGCAGCTGTTATCAGGCTAGGCAGGGGTCGCTCCCAGACCAGAAGTCTCTGCCCTGCAATAAGTAACGGCCCCCATTCATTCAGTCTATGATGCAGTTCGGCCTCTAGGAAGCTCATGTCCTCCTCTGAGGCTCCAGGGAGTCGTCCAATCCTCTCTTCACTCTGCAATGGATCTCCCGAAGGCCCCGATACAACGTCCTCCTTAGGCATCCTTCTTGTTGAAGAAGCTGAGGACTCTCCATTGCCGCCACTCATGATTTCAACTGTGATTCAAATTTAGTTTAGTAGTTCCTCCAACTCCACAGCCAAGGCAAGCAGTTGGCACTCAGATACGGCAAGATTCCTCCTGAGTTTCTACGCAACATTCCCTGGATCCACCAAATGCCAACAGATCCAGCAGAAGCGCAAAAATACAAATGAAGTTTCCAGACGTTCGGTTTGTACTATTCCCTCAGACGGCTGGCATCTCTACAGCTCTGGTCGTTCGATTATTCACTGGGTTTCTCTCCCTTTAAACCCAACTTGTATTCCCGATGCAGAACGTACTTTCATTTACCAACCTCAAATATATTTCCTTTCCTAACCTAATCCTTCCCTTACTTTACATGCAACAGTTTTAATAAAAAAACGAGTAACGATCAATTACTCCTTAATCCACCTATAATTACCGCCCGGCCTATGCCCTGAGCAAGCTACAACATGACCTCTTTTCTTTTGGCTGTAATAGTTATATAAGCAAAACCTACCCAGCCCACGATGATACTGGATCCCTTCCTAAAATGTATTTTCCTGACACTGCATCCCTGAAATCCTCAATAGTGGCCTACTGAATGAAGACTGACCTCTTTCTAGATCAGAATTCTCCAAACCTAGCCTATCCTGGTAGTAGATCCTCTTCAATCATCAGATCCCTCAATGTACGTCTATTCTGTGACGAGATCCCACCTTACTATACTAGTATAAGTGATATGGAATATACTAGTATGACCCTTATACTAGATCATCCTATACCTTGCAGGTGATCCCTCCCCTAACGCCAACCTTTCCTGATATTACAATCCCCTTTACTAAGTCTTCCCAGATAACAGATATTCCCCAAATGTAGCTTAGATTCCCCGACACCGGTCTTCGCCAGTGATTAGCCAAGTGTCTCCTTATAGCAAATCCTCCAATGTCAGTCTATTCTGCAACTGTTCCCCCTAAACCAACCAATCCCAATAATCGATTCTCCTAAATTAATCTATTGATACAGATAAGCTCTGTAACACCGGACTTTGCTGATATTAGATCCTCTTATTTACCCAGACCCATTCCCTGACCCCTTCTAAATATTAGATCTTCCCTGACCCCTGTCTAAATATTAGATCTTCCCTGACCCCAGTCTATCCATATATTAGATCTTCCCTAACCCCAGTCTATCAAGATATTAAATGTTACCTGACCCCGGTCTGTCTAGAGTAGATCTTCCCTGATCCCGGTCCGTCTAGATTAGATCTTCCCTAACCCCAATCTATCAAGATATTAAATGTCTGTCTAGATTAGATCTTCCCTGATCCTGGTCTAAATATTAGATCTTCCCTGACCCCGGTCTAAATATTAGATCTTCCCTAACCCCAGTCTATCAAGATATTAAATGTTACCTGACCCCGGTCTGTCTAGATTAGATCTTCCCTGATCCTGGTCTATCCAGACATTATTCAGTCCAATCTATCCAGATAGATGGATCTTCCCGCTCTATCCAGATATTAGATGTTCCCGAACCCTGGTCTAGCCAGATATTAAATATCATCTAGCCCTGGTCTATCCGGACAATAGATCTCCCCTGACCTTGATCTACCCAGATATTAACTCTATCCCTTCCCCTGGTCTATCCCCATAATGGACCATTCCTGACCCTAATCTGTCCTGATGTTAGATCTCCCCTTACCCTAGTCTATCCGGTATAGCATATTACATAGCCCCAGTATATCCAGATATTAGATCTTCCCTGATCCCAGTCTAGCCAGATATTAGATTTTTTCCTGAACCCGTTCTTTATAGATATTTTATTACCTAGTCCCAGATAATAGATCCCTCTGACCCCGGTGTATCCAGATAATAGATATCTGACCCCGGTCTATGTAGATAATATAGATCCCTCTGACCCCGGTCTATGTAGATCCCTCTGACCCCGGTAAGATAATAGATCCCTCTGACCCCGGTCTATGTATAGATCCCTCTGACCCCGGTCTATGTATAATAGATCCCTCTGACCCCGGTCTATGTAGATAATAGATCCCTCTGACCCCGGTCTATGTAGATAATAGATCCCTCTGACCCCGGTCTACGTAGATAATAGATCCCTCTGACCCCGGTCTATGTAGATAATAGATCCCTCTGACCCCCCCGGTCTATGTAGATAATAGATCCCTCTGACCCCGGTCTATGTAGATAATAGATCCCTCTGACCCCGGTCTATCTATGTAGATAATAGATCTCCCCTGTGCTCTCACAGTAGATCCCCCTAACCCCAGTCGATCCTGGAAGGAAATCCTACTAAGAACTCTATGACCCCAATCTGATTATTGATGGCAGGTTTCAGAGTTGCCCCTCCCCCCCAGATGTGATAACACCCCCCCAGTCTCTGCAGTCCCACCCAGGGTGTCCCCTCTCAGTGTCCAGCACCTCCGGCCCCCGCGGACATCTCTCCGGGTCTCCCAGCTGGGATGTTGTTGTTATGAAGATGCGTCAGCTGAGCGGAAGTGACGTGTGTGCCCGGAACAGCTTCCTTCCGCTGTGTCTGACGGGAAAGCCAGCTCTGGGATGTGTGCCCGGGAATACAGTCTCTGAGAGCGGCCGGTGTCCGTCAGCCCTCCCAGGTAGGGAGCAGAATACCATGACCGGTGTCCTTACCAAATATACAGCCGGGAATTAGAGGCCCGCTGCCCATAGTCAACATGGCTGCCCAGTCCCTGCTCTGGTCATGTGACAATTACGTCCACACAGGAAAGACGTGCTATGGCAGCGGTGGCCATGTTTGTTACTGGCACCTTGGTACTATGGGCAGTAGTGTTTCCAGCTGCAGGCTGGGTGTGTGTGGGAGTGGACACTAGGAGGGGGTGGGGGGGTGACAGTAACTCTTGTGCTGGGATATGAGGAGAGACATGATTATTATTCCAGTATGAGAGTCATTATATATAGTTACATAGATAGTCTGGCTGAAAAAACAAGTCCATCTAGTTCAACCATTAAAAAAAAAAAAGATGTAAACATCAGTAGTGTGTAATCAGCTGCCACCACTGGCTACAGATTGCTGATATTTACATGTCAGCCCTAAGCAGCAGCGGCCAATAGGGTCACAAAAAAAGTTACATGCTTGCAGCATACGTAAAAACAATACTGTAAGGCTACGTTCACACTAGCGTTGTGTGCAGGCGGCAGAGAGGCGTTTTGGAAGCGTTTTTACCGCTTCCCAAACGCCTCTGCCAATTCTGCACATTACAGCACATGGTGCTGTTCTAATGGGAGCGTTTGCGTCGCGTTGCGGCAAAACGGATGCCTCTGGTCGAGTCAGGAGGCGTTGAAGCCTCCTATTCTCGTCTATGGTGCATTATAGGCGTTTGTGGGGCGTTATTAACGCTCGGCAAACGCCTAGCAACCGCCGGTAAACCGTGCATGCGGCGTTTGCGGAGCGCTTGCCAAGCGTTAAAAAACGCTCGGCAAACGCCGGACCAACGCTTGCCAAATTCTATAGGGGCGTTTGGCAAGCGTTGGTAAAACAGCCAAGTGTGAACGAGCCCTGACGGACTGCCTGATGTCCCAGGCTGGGTGTCTCTGCCAAACTACAGCTTCCTCCGCTCTGGAACCAAAATATAGCAAATTTACCCCAAACATCAGACAGAACCAATGTTAGAGTAAAACAATGACTAACATTTTTAACCACTTGCTGTCCGGCCGCTGTATATAAATGGCCGGATGGTGGCAGTGCAGGGGCGGGTTGTTGTTCATAAACGGCACCCGCCATATTGGACTGTGCGCGCTTCCTGGGAGCGCGCAGCACCGCAATTTGGTGCCCGCTGTGTCCTCCGGAACATCTATCGTTGCACCAGACCTCTGCGAGGTCCCGATCATGTGATCACTAATTGGCCAATCAGTGAGCACATGAATAGTAGTAAGCAAGATGTCACTTCTGACATCATTGCTTACTACGTGTGAAATCTGTGAATGATCACAGATGCCACATGGTACAGGGCTATTCACAACAGCCTTGTACCATGTGACAAGCTGTGACCAATCACAGCTCACACAGTAGTTCTCAATGGCTGCAAGAATGTTTTTTTTTTTTTTGTGCTTAGCTGTGATTTGGTCACGGCTAATCACATGACACAGCTGGGCTGTGATTGGCCCAGCTTGTGCATGTGATCGCTGTGACCATTCACAGCTAGACACACTTGTACACAATGGATGGCATGAAAGGAAGCCATCCATTGTATACAACTGTCATGTGACCTGCTGTGATTGGTCACAAGTCACATGGTACTGGCAACGGGGCCGGTACACAGATCTGTCATCGGCCGTGTCCGAGGTACACGGCCGGTGACAGATCGCTCCGCAGCGCGGCATGCGCAACGCGTGTTTCTGAGAGGATGCCATATGGCGTCCACTGTCATGTGACCTGCTGTGATTGGTCACAAGTCACATGGTACTGGCAACGGGGCCGTAACACAGATCTGTCATCGGCCGTGTCCGAGGTACACGGCCGGTGAGAGATCACACTCCGCAGTGCGGCCCTGTGGGCATGCGCAACGCACGTTTCTGAAAGGATGCCATATGGCGTCCACTCGGAGGGATGAGCTGTTTGCCTGGCCGCCATCTGGCTATAGGCCGGGCGGCAACTGGTTAAGTGACTTTGAACGTGGCATGGTTGTTGGTACCAGACAAGCTGGTCTGAGTATTTCAAAAACTGCTGATCTACTGGGATTTTCATGCACAACCATCTCTAGGGCTTACAGAGAATGGTCCAAGAAAGAGAAAATATTCAGTGTGCAGCAGTTGTGTGGAAAAAAATGCCTTGTTGATGTCAGAGGTCACAGGAGAACGGGCAGACTGGTTCCAGATGATTGAAAGGCAACAGTAACTCATGTCAATATGGACCAAAATCTCTAAGGAATGTTTCCAACATGTTTTAGGGTCCAGACTCTATACTTTTTTGTATAATGAAAATGCAAAAATATTTATTAATAGGTATACAAAGACTAAGAAAGTATATACAGTGACATGGATCAAAAATAAAATCTACATCAAGAAGGAAAAACAAAAAATATATAACAAAGATCTTTCCTGAACAAACGAATCATCCATGAAACGCGTAGACTAACTAGAACATAACCAGCAACATATATTTTGTGCTTTTATGATAATTATTGTGATGTTTTATTCAAGACATTTGTAATAAATACTGTTTTTAATGTGATTTTTTTTCTGCATCGATGTGAATGAGCCCCAAGCTGATGAAGACATAATTGGCTCACTCATGAATGCCCCTTTTCTTTATTTAGTTATAAATATATGATAGGATGATGACCTGACGCTGGGTGATTATTGACATATTGGTTGTTAGCATCCTCCGCATTTTTTACTTGATGTTGTAAAAACAATACACTCCCGTGCATGAGCCCTAACATGTTCCTGTGACTCCAGTACTTGTATGGAGCCTCTGCACTCCACTCTGACTCTCTATATTATTATTATTATTATACAGTATTTATAAAGCGCCAATAGTTCGCTCAGCGCTGTACATTACAAAGGGGGACAGAACATGTGACAGAACAATAACAATACAATGCAAAACATGAGGGGATCGAGGGTCCTGCTCTTTGGAGCTTACAATCTAGGAGGGAGGGGATGGTGGCACAGGAGGAGATAGGGGGGGATGGAGTGGTAGGAAGAGTGGAGGAGGTTGGCAGGTTAGCAGGGGGTGGGGGGTGGGGTAGGCTTCCCTGAAGAGGTGGGTTTTCAGGGTGCGCCTAAAGGAGAGGAGAGTAGGTGATAATCTGATGGGTTGGGGCAGGGAGTTCCAGAGGATGGGTGACACCCTGGAGAAGTCCTGGAGTTGGGCATTGGAGGAGGAGACCAGGGAACTAGAGAGAAGGAGGTCTTGTGAGGAGCGGAGTGTGCGTGTTGGGTGGTACTTGGATATTAGGTCAGTGATGTAGTTCGGGGCAGTATGGTGGACAGCTTTGTACGTCAGTGTTAGGATTTTGAATTTGATCCTTTGCGCAATCGGAAGCCAGTGGAGGGATTGGCAGAGGGGGGTGGCGGAGATGGAGCGGTTGGAAAGGTGAATGAGTCTGGCAGCCGTATTCAGGATCGATTGAAGCGGGGATAGCCAGCGGCGAGGCAGGCCAGTGAGGAGGGAGTTGCAGTAGTCGAGTCGTGATATGATGAGGGAGTGGATGAGCTGTTTAGTGGTTTCTGAGGTTAGGAACGTGAGGATTTTGGCGATGTTGCGGAGGTGGAGTCTGCATGAGTTAGTTAAAGATTGGACTTGGGGCTGGAAGGATAGGTTGGAGTCCTGAATTACACCAAGTACTCTGGCCTGCGGGGCGGGTTTGATGGTGGCGTTGTTCGATGTGATGGAGAAGTCAGTGGGGGGTGGGGTCCGGGCTGGGGGGAAGACAAGAAACTTGGTTTTGGAGAGGTTCAGTTTAGGGAAGTGGAGCGACATCCAGTCTGATATGTCGCTCAGTAGGTGTGTGATTCGGGCGGAGACTGAGGGGGTGAGGTGGGGGGTTGAGAGATAGATTTGTGTGTCGTCGGCATAGAGGTGGTAGTTGAAGCCGTGAGAGTGTATGAGTTGGCCAAGGGGGAGGTGTAGATGTAGAAGAGAAGGGGCCCAAGGACAGAGCCTTGAGGGGCCCAAACAGAGAGGGGGAGTGAGGGGAGGTGGTAGCATTATAGTTAACGCTGAAAGAGCGTTGTGACAGGTAGGATGAGAGCCAGGAGAGAGCAGACTCTCTGAGGCCGAGGGAGTGTAGTTTTTTGAGGAGGAGGGGGTGTCTCTATACATTATTGTTATTATTATACAGGATTTATATAGCACCAACAGTTTGCTCAGCACTTTACAATATAAAGGGAGACAATATAGCAACAATACAGTTCAATACAAGAGGGTTAGGAGGGCCCTGGTCCTAGGAGCTTACAGTCTAAGAGGGAGGGGCTGGTGGTACAAAAGGTAATAACTGTGTGGGGAAGAACTGATAGAGAAATAGAAGACTCAGATATTAGCTGAAGGCAGGATATGATTCCCAGAAAAGGTACATTTTCAGAGATCGCCTAAAAGTGGGCAGAGTAGAGGATAGTGGGATAGATTGGGGTAGAGAGTTCCAGAGGATGGGGAGGCTCTGGAGAAGTCCCGGAGATGAGCAAGGGAAGAGGAGACAAGAGAACTAAAGAGCAGGAGGTTGTGGGAGGAGCTGAGAGAACAGTTTGGGTGATATTTGGAGGAAAATTGGGGCGGCACAGTGGCTTAGTGGTTAGCACTTCCGCCTGGCAGTACTAGGGTCATTGGTTCGAATCCCAGCCACAGCACCACCTGCCTGGAGTTTGTATGTTCTTCCTGTGTCTGTGTGGGTTTCCTCTAGGTACTCTGGTTTCCTCCCACACTCCAAAGACATGTTGGTAGGTTAATTGGATCCTGTCTAAATTGTCCCTAGTATGTGTATGTATGAATGTGAGTTAGGGACCTTAGATTGTACACCCCTTGAGGGTTAGGGACCTTAGATTGTACACCCCTTGAGGGTTAGGGACTGATGTGAATGTATAATATATATGTAAAGTGCTGCGTAAATTGACGGCGCTATATAAGTACCTGAAATAAATAAATAAGATAGTATGAGCTCAGTTTTGGAATTCATCACCCTGATTACAGAGACACTTCTATGGAAGCTCTAATTAAACATGAAGATGCAGTGACAGGAATTCTGACCTTTTCACAGTCATTCCCATTCCAGCCCGTTCCTCTGTAATGATCAGCGTCCCTCATTCTATAGGACAGGAACTATTTATCCGCATTAATGAACAGAGACATAAAAAGGCAGCCAATGCACATTAATATTTATTCACTGGTTTGGATTATTTTCTAATTGCTACAAACAAAAAAAATATAACACGTAGAGGTGGGAGAATTGATTTTGGGTTGTTTGTTGGTGGCGGGTCATGGGAATGGTAAGAAATACACAATTAAAATGAAAAAAAAAAAAAAACTACTTTTTTTTTAACCTAGAATGGACCATTTTTTTTATAATTTAACAAAATCAGGAGATATCCATCAACATTTACCACCAAATGAAGGCCCGATTTGTGTTACCAAAGGTATAATTCAGCTGGATACACACCAGGGTTTTTTTTTTTAAATTGGTTTGCAAATGCTTCAGCAAGCGCACAGTCATTGCATATAGTCTTCTTAAAGAGGGGCTCCAGTCTCCCCCTAAAAAATTAAAAGTCAGCAGCTACAAATACTGTAGCTGCTGACTTTTAATATAAGGACACTTACTTGTCCAGCGATCCAGCGGTGTCCTCACCCAAGCCGATTCTTCAATCAGCTTTGGGTGCAGGGGTCGGCATCCTAAGTAAGGGACACAGGTGGTAAAGCCTCCTGGATTCACAGCCAGTTTCCTACTGCGCATGTGCAAGCCACCCTGTGCTGGTGATTGGTCCCGCAGTCTTTTAGGACCTATGTGTGTCCCAGAAGGCTGCGGGGGGAAGAAGGAGGGGCCAAAAGATCTCCGCTGCGATTTTATTCAGAAGTAGGAGTGGGTATCTGTCAGAACCAGGTACGTACTCCCTCCTCCCCCCCAAAAAGTGCCAATAGTGGCAGTGGAGGGAAGGAAGATCCAAAAAAGCGGAACTTCCCCTTTTGGGTGAAGTTCTGCTTTAATATGTTTAATATTTCCTATGATCATCAGCTCCATCTAGTGGCCATAATAGGGCATTTTCCTGATTGCATTATTTCAGGACAATACCACATTAAGGCCAATAGATGGAGCTGACAATCATAGGAAATACATATACTATATTGCCAAAAGTATTGGGCCAGCCCTCCAAATCGCTGGATTCAGGTGTTCCAATCACCTCCATAGCCACAGGTGTATAAAATCAAGCCCCTAAGCATGCAGACTGCTTCTACAAACATTTGTGAAAGAATGGGTCGCTCTCAGGAGCTCAGTGACGCCAAGCGTGGTCCCGTGATAGGTGGCCACCTGTGCAATGAGTTCATCTGTGACATTTCCTGGCTACTAAATATTCCACGCTCAACTGTTAGTGGGATTATGACAAAGTGGAAGCAACTGGGAACAACAGCAACTCAGCCACCAAGTGGTAGGCCACGTAAAATGACAGAGTGGGGTCAGCGCATGCTGAAGCGCACAGTGCGCAGAAGTCACCAACTGTCTGCAGAGTCAATAGCTAAAGACTTCCAAACTTGGTGTGGCCTTCAGATTAGCACAACAACAGTGTGTAGAGAGCTTCATGGAATGGGTTTCCATGGCCGAGCAGCTGCATCCAAGCCTTACATCACCAAGTGCAATGCAAAGCGTTGGATGCCGTGGTGTAAAGCATGCCGCCACTGGACTGTAGAGCAGTGGAGACATGTTCTCTGGAGTGACCAATCACGCTTCTCTGTCTGCCAATCGGATGGACGTGTCTGGGTTTGGCGGTTGCCAGGAGAACGGTACTTGCCTGACTGCATTGTGCCAAGTTTGGTGGAGGGGGGATTATGGTGTGGGGTTGATTTCAGGGGTTTGGCTTGGCCCCCTAGTTCCAATGCAGGGAATTCTTAAGGCGGCAGCATACCAAGACATTTTGGACAATTTCATGCTCCCAACTTTGTAGGAAGAGTTTGAGGATGGCCCCTTCTTGTTCCAACATGGCTGCCCACCATTGCACAAAGCAAGGTCCATAAATACATGGAGGAGGCAGTTTGGGGTGGAGGAACTTGACTGGCCTGCACAGAGTCCTGACCTCAACCCCATAGAACACCTTTGGGATAAATTAGAGTGGAGACTGGAAGCCAGGCCTCCTCCCCCGACATCAGTGCCTGACCTGACAAATGTGCTTCTGGAAGAATGGTCCAACCTTCCCATAGACACCCTCCTAAACCTTGTGGACGGCCTTCCCAGAAGAGTTGAAGCTGTTATAGCTGCAAAGGGCGGGGCCAACTCAATACTGCATTGGATTTTTGGATTATTTGTCAACAGTATCCATACAGGTGCACTTTCATTAAAAAAAAAAAAATTAAGAAAAATCATGAAAAGGAGCCTCTACTAAAGAAGGCCATTCATTATAGTCACTCTGACACACAATACTTCAACTAAACTGTATCTGTTCGAACTTCATCCAATTGCCATCATAGCCGCGTTCCAGCAGAGGGAGCCCTATACCGGCATTCACAGATTCAGCCGTACAGAGACAAGCGCTGTCCATGGTAACTATTAAACATTTGTAAAGCTGTACGTTCTGTATGAAGGAAAACCAGGAAAATACAGGGATTGCAACAGCAAAATATTTACAAATGCTAGTTGGCTGGCTGTCATGCTGATTATATGGCTCCACTGACCTGGAACAGGCATGCAGCTAGTACAAGCAGAAAAGTCAGAACCAGGGGTGGACTGACAACTCATGGGGCCCCCGGGCAATTGGGGATCATGGGGCCCCTGTATCCTTGCCCAAACTAAAAAAAGCCTATGAAAAAGGTACCAGGGGTATCTCATGGGGCCCCCTAATGACCCCGGGCCCTCGGGCAGTGCCCGAGTTTCCAAATGGTCAGTCCGCCCCTGGTCAGAACTGCCATTCTGTATTCCAGTTTTGGGGCGTTGGCTACAAAAGGACTGAACACTTTGGCTAAGCATGGCAGCCAGGTAGCTAGCATTTTCTAGCTGCACACTGGTCATACTGCCTGACTCTGGGTACGCGGATGGCGCCTGCACCTACCAGGACTTATGGAAGCCTGCTGGAGTCTGCTCTATGTGCCTGCTCCCGTTCAGAACTGCATCCGCCATTCTCAGCACTGCACATATAGGCAGAATGCGAGCCAAAGCCATGCCTCTTCTCCTCCTCCACAGTGGTGATTGACAGCGGCCGCCAAATTACTGGCCACACACCAGTAGATTTTTGAACGAATTTTGTATAAACATTCATCTGAAAAATCATAGAATCATTCTCAGAACCATAGGTGTGCACCCCAAAGCTCAAACTCAGATGCACGAGTGCAGATGTATATCACAGCCCTCAATCTCAGCTGCACAGAATGGCTAAACAGGAATAGCTCTGTACAGATCTTCCCATTCATGCACAAACTGAAGCATAGTAAAAAAAAAAACAGTTTACTATGCTTCGGTTATGAATAAACACAGTGAGTGATCGGTACTGATCACTCACTGTGTTCATTCAGAAAAGGAAGGGGCCAGTAAATTACATGTTTCTTAGCACTCTATCCTGAAACAACCCTCTGCAGCAGCTGGGGGGAGAGGAGAGGAGGGGAAGCAGGCAGCACTGTGGGGAAGGGGAGACTGGAGGAGCACACAGAGGGACCCGGACAGCAACAGGAAGGGGAACATGGACAGGAATGGGGCTGGAATTTATTGGAACCAATCCCCTTTCTCTCCTGCAGTAGCCAAATCATTCCCCCTGATGAAGCCACGTGACATAATGCTTAGGGGAGGGGCTTTGACGTCACGACGCTCGATGCTTCAATACTGACATCAGCTGGCAATTTTAGGATTTTCACCACTGCCAAAAATTCAGGAGGATACATTTTGTGCACAAAGCGGTTTATATACAGAGTATACAGTATGTGAATACATTACTTTTATTAATAAAACGGTTTTAAAAGGATAAAACACTATGATTTGATTATACCTCTATATTAACCATCCATACTTTGGCCCATTTAAAGGGACACAAGCGCAATATGACCTCACTTAACGGTTTGGGCATATACTTGAGGTGAGAGCACCACCGGTGGGGGGAGCACACTAATACAAGTTATTTTCACACAAAAAAAATCAGTTAAGAAGCACTGGATATTTATTTTATTCTAAGTGAACTACACACCTTTGAAGAAGTATATATATTTGGACCTTTTTGACATGTATATGGACATTGCTTTTGGTTATTGGTATTGGTTGATTTATTTATTCTATTTTATATACTATTTTGGCATTTATTAGTAATAGAAGCACTTGGATGTACTTATCACTTGAATTTAGTAATTTTAAGTGAAGCACAGCACAATTTTGACATTTAGTATTGCTTTTCTGAGACTGTTCAGTTATGTTCTTCCTTTTAAAGAGTACATCTGCTGCATACAGACCAGACTGCAAAAAGGCCAGACCAGCAGAGACACCTGGGGCAGGGCAGCACAGACTGCAGTGATTGCATCTGCACTAATGCTGCCGGGAGCCCAGCGCATCTTCTCTCCCATTACTTCCCAACACTGAATCTCAGCAGGCATTCTGTGGAGAGACTGAGGAAGCCCTCCTTCTACAGCAAGGGGTCACCGCAGCATCCCAGGAACTGGTGAGAGGGCTATTCACTCATTGCTGATTCTGCTAGCAGGGACTGAGCCACTGAGAGTAGGACACAAAGTGTACCCAATCCATACTGCATCCATACTGCACCTATTCCAAACCTAGACTCCACCTATACCAACCCTATACCGCATTATACCAAACCTTTTCCCGCATTTGAACCACATCTACTATGCACCTGTGCCTAGCCTATATTTTAACTATACTGCATGCAGGTTAACTGGGATTGTCGTTAAGTGCACCAACGCTCTTAAAGGGCCCCAGCAATAGCTGGCAGAAGATCATCTCAAAGGACTGCCCCTCAAATAATAATTATTCTTCAAGCCCCCTTTGTTCCCCTGCCCCCTCCACTACTGTCCTCCTTTTCTTTTGGACAGTGCATACTCAGTCATTCTAGGACTAGCATTGCCGCCATAAATGTACTCTGGCAGTATAGTTCCAGCACTCAGCATATTAAACTTTACTACTGCTGCGCTTGAGGTGGCCTTGCTACTGTTTATGCAGATCTGGAGAGCAAAGGGGTTTATTTACTAAAACTGAAGAGTGCACAATCTGCTGCAGCTGTGCATTGAAACCAATCAGTTTACAGGTTTTTTTTTGTCAGAACTTACAGTATAGCGGAGTTCCACTCACACTGTAAAAAAATAAAAGTCAGCAGCTACAAAAACAGCCAATCACCTCCCCGCAGCCTGTTTCCCTGGCTGTCCTGTGTTCCAGGCGCCGGCATCTTCAGTGTGGGCACCCAGCTGTTACAGCTTGCGGCTTCACAGCTGGGTGCTCACTGCGCATGCGCGAGTAGCTCTGCACTTCCTGAATGGCCCCATAGTCTTCTGGGACCTGTCACGTGTCCTAGAAGTCTATGGGTAAGGGAAGGTAGGAGGACAACATCCGCTTCCGATCGCCTAGGCGATCACAGCGGAAGTGGGAACGGGTACCTGTCAAATTCGGGTGCCAATCCATAATGGGGAGCGGGGGGACCAGTCTTTAAAGCGGAACTTCCCCTTTTGGGTGGAACTTTGCTGTAATTGAACAAGCTGCAATTAGAAGCTGATTGGCTACCACTTACAGCTGCCCCAGATTTTGCACTCTCCAGTTTTAGTAAATCAACCCCTAAATGTCATCTTATGCCCAGTCCTTACTGTTTATCACTTTTCATGCTAAATCGTTTTATTACCATTGTAAATCCATTTTATGCTTGCCAAGTTACCAACCATATTGGGTGACAATATATTAAGTTTGCCTTTACTACCTGGTTTGGTGCTGGTTTTCATTGATACAGCACTCCTATTGAATACTAAATATTACTTTTAGTGATTTCCTGTGATATTGTATGTTGGTACCCTCAACCTGGTGTGTCAGAGGGGCTAAGGTTCTTGAGAAGGTCGAGGCAAGGAACAGGAGCTCCTATGGAGATAACGCTACAATCCACAAGGAATAAGGTGTCTATGGCGATCTCCAGCCTGAGCAAAGCTGTTTTATGGATAGTCTACATCCTGTTTAAGAGGACCCCATGATTTTCCATGGAGGCCAATCCTACTCTCTTCCTCCGACACCCAAACTGAACCCTCTAACTGTCCCTGCGTCTCTATTTACAGTTGCAAGAAAAAGTATGTGAACCCCTTGGGATTACATGGAGTTTTGCATGAATTGGACATAAAATGTGCTCTGAACGTCATCTAAGTCACAACAATAGAAGAACACAGTCTGCTGAACATAATACTACACAAACATTAGATGTTGCCATGGTTTAATTGCACATAACATGTAAAACATTTACAGTGCAGGGAGGAAAAAGTATGTGAACCTTTGGACTTAATAACTGGTTGACCCTCCTTTGGCAGCAATAACCTCAACCAAACGTTTCCTGTAGTGGCAGATCAGACCTGCACAACGATCTGGAGTAATTTTGGACCACTCCTCTTCACAAAACTGTTTCAGTGTAGCAATATTCTTGGGATGTCTGGTGTGAATCGCTCTCTTAAGGTCATGCCACAGCATTTCAATAGGGTTGAGGTCAGGACTCTGACTGGGCCACTCCAGAAGGCGTATTCTGTGCTGTTGCAGCCATTGTTTTGTTCATTTTATGCCCAATTCATGCAAAACTCCACGTAATCCCAAGGGGTTCGCATACATTTTCTTGCAACTGTATACCTGCCATCTATGGAGAAAGAAGGTGACATCCTTTGGCCAAACAGACAATTACACTATTAGCCACCTAACACCTTCCTACACTCCCAACACCTGCCCTGCAACCGCCTCCAATGCAGGTAATTGTAGTGAGGTGTGGCAGCACTTACAGGGTTAAATAAAGCAGTGAGGATGAGCTCCCCATTGCCTATCAAATGCCTCTGAAAAGCAATTCACTACCAATTTTCAGAGCGGTGGCAAAGGCTGCCATACATGTGAACAAACCCCCAAAGAAGGCACATATGTGTTTCCCTGTTACCCAGCCGTATCACTGCTTGCATTTACCAGACACACAAACAAATAAGAGTTTATTCCCTCTCAGCCTCTTTAATGCAGAGGAACCCTTGAAATAACTTTTCAGGTAATTTTATTTTGTTATTTCAGTTTCACTTTAAGGCCCGTTTAGATGTTTGTGTTGCAGTAATCCATAAATGTGTTCCACTTTAATAGTGCCTGTATGCAGAACCAATCCATAATGCATTAGGGTCACAAATTGTGGGACACGTCCAATGTTCGGGTGTTTCGGTGTATGGGCAGCTCATTCATTTCAATGGGTGGCCTTAATGCTTCAACATAACATGCGTTAACGCACTACAAAAATGTAAATGATCCTTTAATGAGCAGCAGGGTAATACTTCAGCAGCGTGCACTATATCCGCGGTATTTCCCATTCTGTACCGTGCAGAGAAACCGTTAGATTTAGGGTCATCAATAAAACAGAATGAAGCTGGAAAGAGTTCAGTGACCGGAAACAACATTAATAAGGAGAATGGATGGCTTTAATCATATGAAGAGCCTGGCTAGATTGGTTCTGTTAATGTTTGTACAGAGCTTCC